TCATTTTCTTAGGTTTTAATTTGCATATATAGAACGTTTAATTTGGAGTTTGAAACTATTTTTATAATTTTTTTTAAATGGATGAGCAAATTTGAAAGAACTAAGTGAATTTTAAGTCTGCAAAACAAAATTTGAATTATGCATACATTTTTAGTGCTTGTTTATGTGAAAATTTTGCTCACATGATAAAATATTCGACACTGTCCCAAATCTCCTAGATTAATTTAAAAGCGTGAGCAAAATGTAAACGTTTTCAATATTAATCAGTTGAGCAAAATTAGATTTGCTAAATGGATTGGTGATCGTACCAAATTACATAATTTGTCAAATACCTTATTTTTAAAGCTCTAACTCAAACTCAAACTAAATCTAAATATGAATCTATATATTATCTTCTAAATTGTAAATTAATTCTTCAAATCCAATTTAAGTACATTATATTCATATAAAATACTATCGTTTTCAATATCAGATAAATCAATTATTAATTCACATTCAAATTCAATTAAAATCAACACACAATTAACTCATACAATAAAAAAATAAAATTGTCCTATAATTTAAATAATATGACCAATTTACCTTCATAGTTAAAAATTTTTTAGTTTAAGATACTATAAAAATTGAAAAATGATCAACTTCTTTTACCTTAATTTCACATATTGGATTCTCAAAACTCCTAATGCTCTTAAACTCATACTAAGTTAGATTTTGCTTTAAGAAGATCTGGTTAACAAATGGAACATATCATAATATTTATAAAGTAGTAAAAATTCATCTTTGACACACAAAGTATACGTGCATGTAAGCTCTTTAAATTTACATGGAAAAGCTTATTCTATTAAAAATTTGTATCCCTTCTCTCCTTGAGGAGCACCAAGATACACCAAGAGAGAATGAGAAAGATAGAAAAAAAGAAAGGAATTATAGAAATATAGTGATTATGTGATAATCAAATTTAAATGGTTAAAATTTTATAATTATAATTCTTTAGTTTAGTTAATAAAATTTCAAACTTTATCCCATTAAATTATTTATATTTTTAAATTTCTTATCAATAATAATAATAATATTATTATTAATTATGTAATTTATTTATTATAATTTAGGATTTAATTGTGGAATCGCCTTATTTATTATTTCATATATTAGTATTTATTATGATAAAAGGTTGATTTTGGAGTGAATTTATTAAATTATGTTAAATAAATATAATATATTTTAATTTTTTAAATATAAGCTAGATTAATAGGTGAATCATTAATCTGATTATTAATCTATTAACTTAGTATGTGATCGAGTTAATTAGTTTTTATAATCTAAAATAATTTATTTAGTATATTAAAGATAGCTTATAAAAAACAAATTATAAAATAAAGAGTAATTTTATTAACATTAATTTGTATTCAATTTAGGATTGTGATAACTTGAAAGGATTTGTATCGAAGTTGTGATATTGTTGGGTGCATATACAGAGCAATGTTTGATGTAGAGACTTAAAAGAAATCAGAAAATTACACATACCTTCTTTGGGGTGAAGAAACAATAACAAAGTATATAAGAACTGGGAGTTCATCATTCAATGTCCCATCTCAAATTCCGTAATTTATCGCTCTAATAATTATCTTTATTTAAAATAAAATAGATATTCAGTAATTATATTATTAAGATGTAATATTATTATTTTTACTTATTTTTTATTCGGAAATATATTAGAGAATGAAAGACTATATCAATACATTAATGTTGATTCTATATTTTATTATAAAAAATCGTTATTGGTCATTTTTCTTAAATATTTTTTTGATCATCTATGGCTTAATTTTATATTTCTAAAACTATGGTATTTATTTATTCTATAGAATACGATTTAGATTATATATATATATATATTTGTGTGTGTGTGTTTGAAGGCATAAGTTTTCTTTATTCATAAAACTAAAATTCATATAAAAAAACAAGATATAATGAAAATCTTATTCAGGGTAACTCTTAGAAAAAGTGGAAATTAATTTATGAGTAGTATTTCTTAGTTTTAAAATTGTTTGTGAAACTCATATTTTACATCATTCTCATCTTATTTATGACTCTCTTTTTTCAAAAACTAATGAAATATCGTATTTGTATGTAAAATAATATTCAAATCACGCTAGAAAAAAAAAAAAGAACATTCGGTCAAGCTCGAAGTTTAAATGAATATATAGTGCGAATCTTCTAAAAGTAAAATACCAAATCAAATACTTAATTTATAAAGACCTCATTAGAAAAATTGATACTAAGATATAAAGTTGTAAAAAAGGTTTTGGTATGGGTGAACCTATGTTTATAAATAATAATATTAATAATAAAATAAAAATATATATTATTTTATTAAAATATAGAGAGATATATAGATATACAATTAGTATATTGATAATTAAAATAAAATTTATTTATACTATTAAAGTTTTTAAAACTATATTTTATGTTTAATTTAAAACGCATCAAAATAATTGTAAATTTAAAATATGAACCAATCAAGATCTAAAAACTATAAACTATTTAGAATATACGTTCAACCGCTTGTTTTAAGACATCTGTCAAAAATTATTAAAATTCAGGGTTTACGAAAGATTTGACCTCTTATAGTAAAGCCTACTTATAATTAATCATCCCTTTACTAAAACAAGCAAGCACAAAAAATCTTTAATGTAATATTTAAAAAAAAATGAAAAAAATCTTGAACGTAATAGAATCTCTGCTAACAAGTTGTTTGATGTTGATCCTTATTGCTGTTAATATATATAAAAATATTTATGAAGAGAGAGAAGAAGGGTGAACATAAAAGCGATGCGTGAGTTGTCTGAGAATCTTATTTCAACAAATGTGAGGAATGAGAATTATTCCCTTTCATTTTCACAGAAACCAAAAACCACCCATCTACCTACCTACCTCGCATAACCATGCCCAAGGTTTAACCACACTCACGCCTTCCGTCAATCCATTCACCAATCAAACCGCTTCGTTTTCCTTCCATCCTATCAACTTTCAATTCGGATGACGCGGTGCAATATAATTAAAACCCTTGTTTCTTTTAATTTCTTCTACATTTTCCTCAAAATTTGTAGGATTGCCACGTGGTACATTGTGCGCAAGCCTGCAACTTCTCTTTCCTTTCTTCAACCCTACCAACCTTCTTCCTAAGGATCTCATACTGTTATCATACTCTTTCATTTTCATATTATTTTATACTTTTTTTTTTATCTCTCTTTTTTTTTTAGTATGCTATTCATTCTTCTCTCCATTACTGAAATGTATACTTTATCTTATCTTCCTTCCCTTCCTGTTTATTTCTTTATTTTTTTTCCCATATAATATTTCTTACATCTAAGTCAAGCTAAACCAGATTTTTTATATGTATTATATGTCAAATTTTAGGATTTTGCCTCAATTTTTTAAAAGCCTAATTTAACATAAAAATGTGCCGATAACACAAGCCTATTCCTAAGTCGATCAGCCAATAAGCTTAAATAGACTGCTAATAGTTATATTCTTTTATATTATTTTTATACATAAATTATATTAGTATATTATTTATAATATATAATACATAATTTAATATAAATTTTGTAAACTTAAAGTTTCACATTTTATTCAAATATTTTAAAATTTTAAATTATACATTTTTCATCAAAGGGTCGGGTTAGGCGATACCTTACAGAGATCAGGCTGCGAATTCCAACTAAAAATTTATGTTTAGTTCTAAATAACTCATTGCTAATTATTCGAGGAAATTATATATATATATATATATATATATATATATATATATATATATATATATGAGGTTGTTTAGTCTCATTTTTATTTATATACATGTATATGTGTGTTAAAAAGATATTCTATAATTCCACCTAAATGATATATATGTTGCTAGTAATTTTTAGTCTTAATAAATAGTTACTTTGGTCTTTAATTTTGTAGGACACTATATCTCAGCAATTTTCCAATTAAAAAAACTCTAAAAATATAAATATACATTTACATTAATCTTGACTGAAAATAATAATTTAAAAAGTAAATAATAGTACATAATTAAATTTAAAAAATGTTTAACATGTAAAAAGTCATTTAACATTTTTAAATTTAGAGTAATTCCACCAAATAAATATTTTACTCTTTGGGAGCAAAGCCCCTCCTATGTTTTTCTAACATGTGGGTCCCACTGACATTCTAGAAAATTTGCAGTTCTTTGTAGGTCATTAAATAGAAGACTTTGATGAGCGGGTAAGTACTGTATAATAAGCTTCTTGGATCGAGTTGAGATCAGATCAGATCAGTTCAGATAGATAGATACGCAACAACATTCCCCTCTTGGTAGGCCTTTCTTTCTTTCTTCAAGCTACACCATACTCCTTTCCTTTCCTCACCATCTCACTCACTCACTCACTCACTCACTGCCAAAGCTTCAGTTTTCTCATCCCCATCCCCCCCCCTTGTACCTGTGCCTGCTTGCATGTTATTTTAATTTATTTCTCCCCAACATTTAATATATGCATGGCATGTATATACCAATTATCGTCTTGTGAACTAGCTAAGATATAACAGACTTTACAAATCAATTAAACTTCATTTTCCTCTCATAGATTCGCTCTTTACCAAAGCTTTCAACAACCCTTTTGCGGACAAACTAGTTTATAGTGCATACATATGTGTTCCTATAATTAATAAAGAAAAGTTACTATAGACAACACATCCCTTCCTCCGGATCAGCGCAACATAGAGTTTCAGACTTCGAAAACTCAAACCTGTTGTTTCTTTCAAGATAAGAATCGAGACAACTAGTGATTTAGTCTCGCATAGTGTTTGCTTTTTACGTCTAGCTTCGCATTGAATATTAAGTTTGCAATTGGTTGCTATGAGATAAGATTTCTATTATGGTTTTTTTACTATTCTGTAGATACTAAGTTAGTGGTGTTAATAAAGGTATGAATAAATAAAATACAGGATAAGGAAGAAAGATGGAATATGGTGGCTTAGTGCACAGTGGTGCATATGGGAGCTTCCCAGATATTTTTGCCCCAGAAACGGATTTTATGGATGAGCTATTTGTAGAAGGATGTTGGGTGGAAACGAAGGTTGGATGTGGAGGGTCGTACCTTAACTGTGGTACGGAGCCTTCAAAGTCAAACAGGAGCATGGAGGCAAATGAGGCGCAACTAATATTTGAGGAAGAATCAGAGGCGGAAAGTTTGATGGTGGGGAAGAGATGGTGGATTGGACCAAGGGCGAATCCGGGGCCATCTTCCTCTGTGAAGGAGAGATTAGTGGTTGCGGTTGGATACTTGAAAGAATACACCAAGAACTCCAATGTGGCGATTCAGGTATGGGTGCCCGCACGGAGAGGATGTGCAGTAGGGAGTCATCAGGATTACCCATACACCCTTGACTATGCTAATGTCACTAACAATAGTAATAACAGTAACAACGGGGATGCAGCAAGAGCTTTTCAGTTTCAGGAGGAGTGGCTTCCTCATCACTGGACTCCCAACATTCGCTTCCTCAGAAGTCACGACTATCCGCGCGTTCAGCAGTACGATCTACGTCCTGGATCTCTGGCACTTCCCGTCTTTCAGAGAGGCACTGGAATTTGTCTCGGTGTTCTCGAGATTCTCGAGCCCAACAATGTTAACCCGGACCTTCACAACCTTCAGGTTATTGTTGTTATTATTATTACATTTTATTTTATGTTTGGTTTATACCACAACGAAGTAATTAACATTAAACTCCTTCATATCAAATTAGCAATTAATGACTAAGATTGATGAACAGGGTGTTGATTTTAGGAGTTGTTCTCACCAGAGCTTCATTCCACCAGCCGTGACCGTGAAGGTACGTATGTACGTACGTAAGTAAGTTGGATTAATTAGGACGCATGAAATTCATAACAAAGAGAATATTTGACTGTGATTATATTCTCAGGGTTTTGACGAGTTATACCAAGTTGCATTAAATGAGATAATAGAAGTTTTGACGTGTGTGTGCAAGGCGCATAACTTGCCCTTAGCTTTGACATGGGCTCCGTGCATCCAACAAGGAAGGAGTGGATGCGGGCATTCAAACGATGAGAATTATGTGTCGACTGTGGATCCAGCAAGCTTTGTGGCAGATGTAGAGGTATTGGGATTCCTGGAAGCGTGCTCTGAGTACCACCTTCTTGGGGGTCAAGGAGTGGTTGGGACAGCTTTCACAACCGCCAAACCTTGCTTTGCAAATGACATAACTGCCTTCACCAAGGCCGAATATCCTCTGGCACACCATGCAAACATGTTCGGCTTGCATTCTGCTGTGGCCATTCCTCTGCGGAGTGTCTCCGCTGATTTTGTGTTAGAGTTTTTCCTGCCAAAGGATTGCCATGACAGCCAAGAGCAGAAACAGATGCTCAACTCATTGTCTATGCTAGTGCAGAAAGCTTGCCGGAGTTTGCATGTTGTAATGGATAAGGAGGATGAGGAGGAGGAATTGGTGGTACACCATCATCATCATCATCATCATCATCATCGACATGATGATAAAGAAATGGAATCGTCATCCTGGATTGCACATATGATGGAGGCCCAACAGAAGGGGAAAGGTGTGTCGGTGTCCCTGGAATACCTCCAAGAGCCAAAACAAGAGTTCAAAGTGACAACCAACTGCAATGAGCAGATATTCTCAGAACTGGAAGGAACAGGCAGTGTTGGTGTTGGTGGCCGCCGGGGTGGCAGGAAATCTGGCGACAAGAGGCGAACCAAGGCAGAGAAGACTATCAGCTTGCCGGTTCTTCGACAATACTTTGCCGGGAGCCTAAAAGACGCTGCCAAGAGCATTGGCGGTACGTACCACATATATCTCATGGTTGTTTGAAGGATGTTTTTGTAAAATATGGGTGTCTATAACCCGGTTATGATAAGTTACAATATTCTAATATATTAATTATATTAATAAAAATATAAAGATTTCTAATCAAGTTTTATTACCCATTTACATCTTTATTATAACTAATTAAAAAAAAAAAAAGAGAGAGAGGATGTCCTTAGAGTGTTTAACAAAAAGAAGTGATATTTGTAACACTTGTCATTAGATTATATTATTCTACCAATTCTCAACTTATCATTCTAGCGTACAAATACGTCATATTCCTTTCAGTTAATCGTTACTATATTTTCTGTGTTTTTCATATATAATACTCTGGTGATTGCAGTATGTCCTACCACCCTAAAAAGAATATGCAGACAACATGGGATTACAAGGTGGCCTTCAAGGAAAATTAAGAAGGTAGGTCACTCCTTAAGGAAACTTCAACTAGTGATCGACTCCGTCCAGGGTGCCGAAGGTGCCATTCAAATTGGCTCCTTCTATACCAGTTTTCCAGAGTTGAGCTCTGCCAATGGTGTTTCGGAATCATCCAAGATCAGCAATGATAATTCTAAGTTTTATTCGGAAAATGGGTTGTTTAGTAACCAAGGAGTTACCACTACTACTTCCACTTCTCCTTTCAAATCCCCAACGTCGTCTTGCAGTCAGACTTGTAACCCCACTTCAAACCAATCAACCAATGTCATCAACAACAGCAATAATAATAATAATAATAACAACAATGCTGATATTATTCTGATGTCAGAGAATGAACCACTAATTGGTGCATCACTCCAAGTTCAAGGGGAAGCAAAGCATATCACCCACCACCCTCCAATTCCCATTCCCATTCCCATTCCCATTCAAAGCCTGGATGTTCTACCTCCCTTGCCATTCCCATTCACGGGCACGGGTACTTTTAGAGTCAAAGCTACTTTTGGAGATGAAAAAATCCGTTTTAGCTTGCAATCAAATTGGGGATTCGGCGATTTGCAGATGGAGATTGCAAGACGTTTCAATCTGAACGAGATTAGCAATATTCAGCTCAAGTATTTGGACGATGCTCAAGAGTGGGTTCTCTTAACTTGCGATGCTGATCTTGAGGAGTGTAAAGACATAAATAGATCATCTCAGAGCCGCACAATTAGACTCTTCCTCTTTCAAGCTTCGCCACTGACTCACGCAACCAATGCATTTGGCGGCACCAGCCCCACCTAACACCTCATCCTTCCGTACAAGAGTTCTTTGTTAACAAAATATTATTTTAATATAAACCTAAAAAGAATTACTTATATCGTTTTCTTTTTAATTTTTAAAAACTTATATTAAAATAATATTTTTATTAATAAAGAACTCTTATAAAAGAAAAATCCATTATTATTATTATTTTCTCAATGGTCCATCATCTCCTTCCCCAAGTTAAAACCATTTTTGTATTACTTCTCCCTGCTCCCACAATAAATAATACAATCTTGATATAATAGAGATGGAGATGTTTATTACAACATTGAAGTAACTTTTTGAAGAGAAATAATAGAAGAAAGAGTGAGCTTTTAATTTTTTTTATATATATCTTTTTCTTTCTATCTATCTATCTATCTATCTATCTATATAATCTATTTTATAGTTTGAACATTTTAAATTATAAATATTTTCATGAAAATAAAAATAGTTGAGATTAAATAATTAAATTCAATTATATTACTTTTATTTTTTCAAAAGCTTTTATAATATACTTTCTAAAAAGAGCTAGTTTTTGAAGAATATTGTAAATGTTTTTAAATTGGGAATAGCTGGGTCAAATATGAAATTTTAAATTTACTAAATTAAATTATATAAACATTATAATTGTTTTTTTTTAATTTAAAAACATTACAATTTGTTTCTTGAAACTAGGAATAAGTTGGGTTAAATATGTAATTTCATTTATTAATTTTAATTTTTTTTATAAGTACTTCTTGACAATTTCAAACTCTTAAAATATTTGTAAATACTTTTTAAAATTATATAATATTTAGGATACAAAAAATTTAAATTTAAATTTAGTTATTTGTTGACAATTTCTTTAAGTTTTAAAAAGTATTATAAATGCTTTTTTGATATTATTTTTTAGTTACATGGTTTCTTGATATTTGAAATAGGGGTTAATTAATAATTCAATTTTTATTAATTTTCATGATTTGAAAAATATTTTAAATATTTAATGGATATTAACTTCTTAAGACGTTTTAATTTTTTTAAAAACTGAGAATAATTGAAGATTAAATACTGAAAGTTTAATTCAATAATACTAACAACATTGACATAGGCCAAAAATTAGTCTGGATAACATTGGTCTAGAAATAAAATCTCATAAACTAATATCAATTTAAAATAACCCGCATTGTTGGTTACTGTAAAAAAAACCGTGTTTAACATTAACGATAAACAATGTTAATATTCACCATAACTAAAGTTAGAAAATAAAAATGTAGACTATATCGTCCAAAAAAAACACAATTCTGACAATGATGAAAAAAATTATCATAATCGATTTCAAAATGAAACGACAGTAGTAAAGAATGATGTTCAAGCTGACAAAATTTCAATTTTAAAAAAAATCAATAGGAAAATATATATAAAAAAAAAACATAATTTTACGAGACTAGACGCTACTAGAAATTTCAAATTATTTTTTTAAATAAAATTTGAAATTACATAATATTGAATAATTAAATTATTCTTATAAATTATTAAAATATCATTCTTTTTTTTATTTTTCTATCAAAATAATATTTTTTTATAAAATATTTAAAATTCTGTATACAAATAAATTATTCACTCCAAACTCAGCCCCTTATAAAACATTGTTTCTCAATTTCAAATTTACAAGAAACTAAGATTTTTTTTCTTCAATCAAACGCTTTTAAAATAACATATTAATTAAGATTATGTTTGACATATATTTTAATGAAGTTTTAAGGGAGTCATAATTTTCTTTTTATAAAATTTAGAGGGGATTGATCTTTTGCATTATTATGACATCTATTGATCCCTTCCACCCCTGCCAAGATTGTTTTATGAAACTAATTTAAAATGCTATTAGCATTATATTATTTGAAATAACATTTTTGAAAACGCTTGAAATAATGATTTTCAATATATTGACTTCTAACGTTTCATTATATTTTATTCTTAAATTAGTATTACATTTACTTTTTAATCTTTACCATTAATTAAGACTTTATAATATTTTTATCTTAATTATCTTTTCCCACTCATAAAGTATAGTTTTTATTTTTATTTTTATATAAAATAGTTTTTTACTAATTTTTGATAAAAATTATAGATAATAAATATTTTGATATTTTTATATTACATTGTTTATTTGGAATGCTTACTTTATTATCTTAAAATTGACTTCAAAATATTGATTTTTTGTATATTATCCTATTTTTTAATCATTATATTAATTAACATAGGGAAAGGGTCATATTTACTTAAATATAAAATATTTTTATTTATTTTAAAATTGATTGAGATATTTTAAGTGATAATCTTGTATGAATAGTATATTCATACAATATGGAAAATAGTATAATTGGAAGTAAAAAGAAACACATAATTAGAATGATTGATCTGTATATTAAAAATTAAAAAAAAAAGTTTAAAATCGACAAAAACTAGAGTTATAAATATTCCAGAATATATTTTTATTCATAAATTAAAATTTATATTAAACATCATATTAGCCTGTCTATTTTATAATTTTATATTTATCATCAAGTTCAATAAATAGTTTTACAAACACTTGATAAACTGCCTTATCAATTTCTACTAATTTTTTAACATACCAAATAATTTTATCATACATAGCCTAAAAAGTAAAGTTTCAAGACTAAATTGATTAGCAATTATCAACATCAAGCACTATATTTACTCTTTTATCCATATGCATTAAATTAGTAAGGAAAATCAATTTAAGGACTACCATAATGTTTACCGAACCGCATTCAGTGTTTTCTTTGAAGAGACAACTATATTTCGTTGTAGTGAGGTAACAATCTGCTAGTGCCAGGCAAAAAAAAATACTATTCACTAAGGTTGCAAGCTCGAAGGTATGGATTATCGAAAATAACATATTTGGACCAGTACGATTTGTATTTGGAAACAGCAAGATTTAACCATGGTTTGTAATTTCCATTGTAGTGAATGACAGCGGCATTCTCTATCTCTGTTAGGTTCAGAGCTGGGTCATAGCCAAGTCCCAAAACATGCCAGCCTCGATCTAACGGATACGTCAGATTATAAAAGGTGATGAGTCCGGGAGGTAAGGTTCCAAGCTTCCAGAGGGTTCTGTCCTCATTCTGCAAACGATTAATTCTACATCAGAAAAGAAGACACTAGTATATATATCTACATTTACCAAACCTTAAACATGAATGGATTTCCTGTATTTGAAATTGAGTACTGCACAAGAAAATAAAGACAATGGCATGATGCACACATAGGTATATATCATAAAATGATATTCGGATATATATATATATATATAACGTTAAAAGAAGGACAAGATTAGTGAAACTTACCATATCTTGCCACCGATGATAGATGCCCGTGATGTTTCGTTTCTTCCACTCCTTCAAGTCAAAAATATTCATCCCAAATGCCCAGCCACACGCCTCAGGACTGAAGTTTTTAGAAATCAGTGGATTACTAAAGTTTAGGTATTTATCAAACCTATGGAAGCTCTCCTTGCATGTCTCCACAGCACCATTCACCATACCTTTCAAGTCAATTGACCAAAGAGGTGTCAAATCTCTCTGTACTACAATGTCATCATCCAAGAATAGAATTCTGTTTAATTTTGGATAAACTTCAGGAAGGTAGAACCTTAAATGGTTTAGCATTGACAAGTATTTAGGATTTCTATATTTTAGATTGTCAGAACCCACAGATAGGGAGGAAGGATGATTAGCTTTAAAGTAATATTCCTTGATTCTTGCTGATTCAAGTTGACGTAGTACAGAACAATATGAAGAATTCAGCCACTTGAAATCATCTATATTCTGAACTTCAATGGTTACTTTAGAAGGAGGATTGGTGAGAAACCACATTCTCATTGCTGCAAAATTCAATTTATCGGTCACTATATGAAATACATGCTTCTCAGGTTCCTTTGCATTTTGGACAGTAGAATTAACGACCACAGACGTAGCCAGTACATTATCAGAAAAGATAGCATAATGGTATAGAGATGGATCTTCAATCTTTTCTTTGTCAAGATTTCCTTTCTTATGATAGCCTTGCAGGTAATAATCCGCTGCAAGTTGCAGAGGAAGGCAATGCAACGGTCTGGGCACAGTTTTCGCAGCCAGCTGTATCAAGAACGCACTTCTTTTCTTCTGTCCATTCACTCTATCTTCGGTTGATTGAAGCATCACCCTTAACTTCCTTGCCACCAAAAGGCAGTCATAAAGTTGGTCCTTTGCTATGGAAAGTACATGACCCATAGCTTTTGCTCGATCAAGTGCTCTAGCAAAAGCAATAAATTGTAATCTTGCACGAAAATTGGAAAAACCTAATAAGCTAGAGAAACAAGACCAAGGAAATACAGAAATACCCAAGTTGAAGCTCGGTATCAGAACGGGCTCTTCCTATAGCTTGTTGACTATCACTGGAGTGCTTGACAAGAGCTTCATATAGGATAGTTTTGTTCTTAGACTTTGCAATGTTAGCATAAGCTTTAGCCATTATTATTTGATCACGCATGAGTTTCAGTGTTGAATCAGAATTTGGGTTTTCATATTCTCTCCTCCATATACTATACTTTACCTTGGTCGTGGTATCAAATCCTTCTGTTTGTTCAATTGCTGCTGATACAATGAGATTGTCAGATTCTCTGTTTTCCTGAGTAAGTTCAGCTGCCCGAGCTTTCCTTCTTTCTTGCCGCATTATCTAAGGGATAGGAAAAAAAAAGAAGAAAAAATTCAACTGGTGTTTGGAGATAAGGTGCTGAGAATTATGCATGAAAAATGATTATATTGTATTATTCCAACTACTTTACAGAGGACATAATGACAGTTTATATACAAGAATATGTTACACAAATTTGCACTGTTCAAAAATAATTTCCTTCGGTTAACTAACCATTATAGCTGGTCTAATAGACTAACTAATCATAAAAAGCTGATGAGAGAAGCCTCGTTAATCCTAATAGCAGGGATAAAAAATAATTGAACAAACAATCTTCCACTTGTTTCTATCCCGGCCGGACAAGATTAGCCATTTACTGAGGTAACAAATCTCAAAGACAAAATATTTAAGGGAACAAAACAACAAAAAATAGAAAGAAATATGATTAATTTCTAAGAGACTACAAGTAAAATTATAATATTTGACTAGAAGTTATACAAATTTATATATAATATTAGTATGAGAAGTGTCATCCCTGTTCCTATTATTTTTATTCGCTTGAGTAGTGATAGAGAACTAGATAATTACTAGGCGTTTGATCTTCAGCGGTGTCATTGAGGAGGAACGGGGAATTTCAACTTTGTTTTCTTCACGATAACGTTCATCCAAGGAATGCTTGGGATTGTCTTCAAATCTTGAATCAGTTTGAAATGATTCCACCAATTCCTGGATGATGAATATTACCAGACAGTGAGTGGTCATATGTAGTAGCTTGTTAGGGAAAAACCATTTCAAACAAGGATCAAAGATGGGAACACCACCACAGAGAAAAACAACAGAAACACAAATTTAACATGGTTTAACACCTCTTATCTATGTCCATGGAAACACTTTAATGGAAATTTACTATCTTCAATAAAGATTACAAATTGTCAAGACAAAGTTGAAAATGCATCTACCATACAATCCTAAGTCTCCCACTCAAGTTACAAGAAATGATAACACTTTCACATCTCTTCCGTCTGGGATTCTTCTCCCTTCACATAACACCGTCCCCCTTTAACTCGGGGTGGTGTCTATTCTCTTTACAAATATCCTCCTTTTATAATGGTGAGTTGAACGGTTTTCCAAGTCTTCTAAAGTGAATTAATGTTCGTACATTTCATAACTGACATTCCCCACATAGTTTATGTAAACTGGCTAGATATCCAAATAACAGATTGACTTGAACCGAAAAAAAATGATGAAATCAAAATAAAGTACCTGGGAGCTCTTTTGATACTCATTGTTTCCACTAGTAGGGTTTTCCCAGATCCAGGAATCAGATAAACCCCTCATTTTCAACCTGGCCAATCGAACATGGCCAGAAGCATCGCTGTATGTTGCAATTATATCAATGTCCTGCATAAAATCATTACTAACAATATAAGCATTGTTGCTGGCTCCAATCCCATGGATTTAAATAATGGTGTCGGGTAAAACCTTTTCATCGGGATTGTGGAGGTTTCTAGTTGTAGAAATGTCGTGTTCCTGCGCGCACAGCAATAGCAACAAGGAAAAAATAACTATTGAGGAAGACATGAAAGTGGAGCAAATTTAGTTAGTTTGAAGGATGAAGTACATATTGATATGATGAAGATCTGAGATGAAGAGACCTTGGTGCGATAACATTGGTCGCAATCATAGAGGGACCTGGAACCTCTGTAGAAAAGAAGAACTGAGGATTGGGAGGAGAAAAGCAAAGAGATAAAAAAAGAATGGAGAGTGGAGAAGTTACTTGGTTGTTGAAACGCCTGAAGAATGTACAGCATAAAACAGAAGCTGCGGAGGTGATTAATTGAAAGAGGTTAGGTATGATGAATTAAAAGATAGAGAGAGGGGTAAAGATTCATACCGAAAAGACGAACAAAAGCAGTAGCGGACGTGGAGATATTCCGGGGTAAGTCTCCATGCCAATTGGGATTGAATCTTCAATCTGGTGTGGTGTGCTACTTACTTCACCACATCTTTTTATTTATTCCTCTCCTCCCCTACCAAATTGAAAGTTGCAAACTGCAAATTCGGCTGCCACTTCTACGAGGCTGTGATGAGATCAGATCGCAATCGCAATTGCTTCTTCCTTCCCTTCACATTTAGCTCCTTTTTCTATTCCACTATTCCTCATACTCGATCAATACCCCTATCCGCGATTAAAAATATAAAATAACGAAATATATGCTCACATCTTTTTTAATTTATTATAAATACAACATTATATTTATATCTTAACTGAAAAAAAAAACATAATAAAAATATTATTGATTGCCAAAAGTATACAAGAAAAACACAACAATTTTTTTATCTCCCTCTCAAATTTTTGAAAGTTTTCGTTTTATATTCACTTAGAACTTTTTAAACAATTACGTTGATTTTAGAAATACAAGATGATACGTAATTTGATGTTAAGAAAGTAAAGACTCATTAAGAAAATTATTTAAATAAATGTGAATTTGAGGAACGTTTGATATAAATTTTATCTTAAAAATACTCATCAATTAAATTATTTGAAGCAGTGATTATATTTAATGATACTTGTGTTTTGGTAAATTTCCAAATGATAAATATGACTCATATGTTTAATAATCTAATAAACAAAAATTAGTGAAAGTCTCATTTAATACTTCATACATTTGAATATTTTTTTTCTATAATTAAAAATGTAATACAAACTTATTTTACAAACTCTTTCATATAGCTATTGATATAAAATAGAAACATATTATATTATATATATAATAACAGAAAAAGAAGGAAAAAAATAGGTGATGTATTAGAAAATTAACATTTTTTTTACTTATTTTTAAAATAAATTTAAAAAATGTTTAATAATTATAATTTAAAAATGATTTAGATGATGATAAGGAGTTATAGTAAAGAATAAAAGATAATTTTGATAATTTTATAAATTATGTAATAATGCATTGATATTATTAATGAATAAAAATAATAAAATAAAAAAGGTTTGTTTATTTTTTTTAAATTTTTTTAAACTTTTAAAAACTAAAATTTATTTGATAATTGTTTTGTTAAAATCATTTATAATTTTTTATTTAAAAAATATTAAAAAGATTTTAATTTTTTATTTTAATTAATGATATTTATGTTTTTACTAACCATTACATATTGTACCATCTGTTTTCATTACCATCAAATAATTAGTTTTTTTTTTAACTTTAAAAATAAATAAGATGTAAATGTCTAAAAACTTTTATATAAATGCGCACTTATTTCAGTGTAGTCCTAATATACATTAATTTAATCTCTTTAATCTTGATCTCTTCATCTTAGTTCCCATAGTAATGCTTTTTCTTCTATTTTTTTCATTAAAATTCAAGATAAATTTAACTTTAGGACTAAAGTTAACCAAAATTTTATTGGGATGAAAATGAAAAAAAAATCTAAATTACCTCTAGGTCATTTTTCTCTTATGATTTTTTTTTAACAATTTTAGTCTATAAATTTGAAAAAATCTATAATTTTATTTCATTTCAGTTTTAGATACATTTTTTTTACATTTTAATTAATTAAATAATTTCTTAATGACACCTTAAATAGATATATGAAAACTAAGTTCATCTGACTGAAAATAAAATGAATAAGACATGTATACATTCTAGAATTACATCAAAGTTATAGATTTTTCAAATATTAAAACTAATATTTCAGAAAAAAAAATCAAAATGACATATTATAATTAATTAAATAATTTCTTAATGACACCTTAAATAGATATATGAAAACTAAGTTCATCTGACTGAAAATAAAATGAATAAGACATATATACATTCTAGAATTACATCAAAGTTATAGATTTTTCAAATATTAAAACTAAAATTTTAGAAAAAATAATCAAAATGACATATTATTAAAAATTAAAGAGAGACTAAAATTATAATAAAAAAGTAAAGTAACAAAACAAAAATATCCATTTCTTACAAGAACATATGGTTAGTTACCTGACTTAAATTATGTAACCTAATTTTATTTTTAAAAAATTTTAGAAACCTAAAACGGAAATCCAAGACGAATAATTAGGCAGTTGGATCATCGTTTCTCGTCTGAGAATTGAGTTGACTGGTGGAGTTACAGGTACACCTGAGCGCAAGGCACAGAAATTGCTGTTACGCAATGTATCTCAAAAACGTGCTGTAGTGTCGCGTAGAATTCGGTATTTGTGCTAAAAGCAATGGCGAAAGTTTTCTGTGATTTTCGGTTCCTTCTCTTGGTAGCAGCTGGCGTCTTCATCTATATCCAGGTGTTGTCTGTCTCCCTAACCCTAACTGTGTGTTTCCAACGGCTCTGTTAATTTAACATGTCTTTCATACTTGTTCAGATGAGGCTTTTCGCAACACAATCAGAGTATGCTGATCGCCTAGCTGCAGCTGTAACTGAACTCCTCCACTTCTCATATAAATCTGTATTCGCTACCATAAGCTAATATTTGGTGGGTCATCATTATCGTTGCTAATCCTTGTTTCACAGATTGAAGCCGAAAACCATTGTACAAGTCAAATGCGATCACTGATTGACCAGATTAGCTTGCAACAAGGACGAATTGTGGCCTTAGAAGGTTTGCTTTTTATTAATTGTCGAATTTTGTTTTGAATTTATCTTTCATTGCATGAATGTTACTAACATCTTCTCTTTCGGTGTACTCGTTAATGCTGGAGGGAAACTTTGTATGTATCTCTTTGATCAGGCTTTAGAAACTCTGTTATTTATCGGGGGCATGAATTTTCTCTGGTGACGTTTGCAATCCAGAATATTCAAGCTCATGAGTTGATGGGTGTGACTGGCATATGGACATTGTCTGACCATTCTTAGTCCCAATCTCTGGTGACATTTTCTATGTAGTTGCTTGGTTGCAATTCCTGCACTTGTTGGTGGGGGTAGTATTACCAAAAAATTACTCTTCTTTATTGGGAATAGGATGGGGAGGACGATGAGAATAGTCAAGAACACAGTGGATCAAACCATAGGCTGATTTGCTGGGCTTTGAGTTGATGTTGATCCTATTAAACCTCTGCTAGTCTTGTTCAAAGTCAGAGGGGGGAGGTTCAGGATGGAGTATTACCAAAAAATTACTCTTCTTTATTGCAGAAAATTTGGAGTCTACCTCAAAGGGGTGACTAGATAGGCCACCGCCAAGAGAGGGAGGTGTAATAAATATTGTAGAGCAGAATGGAGATTTAGTGGAAGTTTTTGCCAGAAAGGAGCATCCCATGAATGATGGTCCTTTTATGGGGAGGTTGAACACGCTTCAAAGCAAGAGGAGTTCTTATGGTTCCATAAGTCTTATTGAATATAGGATGAAGATATAGAAACATTAAGTAATATCTCTTACTGTAAAACGTAGGAGTAGTAGAATTTTGATACGAACCAATAACAATTGTCATAACCATATATGGATTATTAGATATAAGTGCTATAATGACTGTCAGGTTGGCAGCATTGGGTGAAAGTTTGGAGCTTATGTATTATTAGATAAATGTGTAAGTATGTAAAGTAGGTTGGTATGTGTATTGTAACTGTAGGTTTGGACTTTTGACAAAGAATATTCGAATGTAGGAGTCATGAGACTTTGGTACAATTATCCTTTTCTGTATTGTGAATTCTGATTCAGTTATAAAAACCACTGATTGGTGTTCCATCAAATTTTATGAATGAAGAATGAGGATGTGGACCAAGAGGATGATCAAGCTGCTCGCCATACAAAATAAAGACTTCTATTTTATCAGAAGTTGTATGCTCATAAGTGGCAGGGCAAGGACTATACTACCAAAATTACTCTCCCTACGACTGGTGTTCCATTAGGAATTTTCTATTTTATTTCTCACTTATTTCCACTCTTCTCTCTATCTCTCTCCTCATTTATTCTCTATTTCTCTTAAACCAAATATTTTTAGTTTCCACTTTATTTCTCACTTATTTCCACTCATTCATTTTGTTTCTAGTACTCTATATTTTTCTCCTCTCTACCAAACAAACCAGTAAGGTAAGGGCTGTTTGATATTTAAATATAAATAAGACAAGGAGGTTAGTTAATTAGTCAGCTATTGTTAGTTCATAGCTGTTTGTTAGCTGCCTATAAATAAAGTAGGCTACTGTATTCTAGAAAGAAGAATCTAGATTGAATGTTAATGACAGAAGTGCTGTGTACATATTCTTTGATCTTTCTGTTTTCTCCTCTTTCCCTGAAACCTCTGATTCTGTTTTGTTTTCTCCTCCCCTCTTCTTTCTCTGTCTTTCATCTTTCCCACCTAAATTCTATATCAGTGGTATCAACAGCTGGCTGTCCTCGGACACTAGACCAAAATCTTTTCACCCATGCGGCACAAAAACAAGACTACAAGCAATGGTGTGATATCGCAGAAAGGTGTTTAATTAGACATATAATGAATTTTGAGTTTAGACCACAATGGAGCTATTTAATTTATAGGGGAGAAAATAAAATTAGAAAATATTTAGTTATCCTATTTTAGATTAATAACATATATATAAAATTAATCTAATTGATCCTTATATCATAAACTAATCTTAATATCAATTATTATATCTATACGATTCTAACATATCTACAAGATTTTAACACTCTTCCTCAAGCTAGAGTATATAAGTCATTTGCACCAAGCTTGTACATATGTAATTAATTATTACAAGTGGAAGTCATGCGAGGATGCCAAACACCATCAACAAACAATGGAAGAAGGAAGGATATTCCAATTTCTTGCTAGTCTCAATGAGGAATTGGATAAAGTCCAGGGTATTGGGAAGCACTCATTAGGTGAGATCTTTGCAAAAGTCATGAGAGGAAACTCACAAAAATGTGATGATGGGAAAGACAAAATTGTTGGAGGGACAAGGTAGAAGAACGAGGTAGCTAGTTCTTCTGCCTTTAACAAACACATCTCATCTATCATAGCTTGTTTCCATCCTAGATGGTAAAGACACCTACATTGTTAGGAACAAAAACAAAAGACATGGAAGAAAGACAAGAATAGTACGAAGGAGAAAGATGATGATGACTCAAAAAAGGAGAAGTAATATGATGACTCAAAGAAGGAGAAATATTGAACTTGAGAATACTTTACAGATAAGCCATACCATGCTAGTAACATGAAAAATATTTGACGATTTTCCATTTCCATGGTAGGGGTTGCATCAAGAGGCAAAGGTTCATCAAAATCATGAAGAAAACCACTTATACAGCATAATAAGTCGAAATAGTTCCTTCAAGTGTCCATAGTACAATCACATCCTATAGACTTTGTATGTCATTAGTGTAAATTGACTTTAATTGTATGCAAACCAATTCACACATGTCGTGGGAGAAGAAAATCTGTTTGGCAGAGGGATGAAAAGTATACTTGATAATCCCACAAAGTTGAGCATCAATTTTACTCCATTTAACTGGGTCAATTTCAACTACAATTTCTTCTTTTAGTAGTGAGATGGTCAAGATATCCTTGACCCTTGACCCTTGAGCTAAAGTCTGATGTCCAAGAACCAAAAATTATAGTTATTGTCGTCTAACTAGTCAATAGATAGTGAGACAATGACAAAGTTGGTGAAAATAGGTGCATTAGGTTTTAGAGTTGTCATGGATCAACCTTAGAGAGTGAGAGAGAAACAGTGTTTCAAACAACCAAAACAATCATCATGAATTCAGATGCCAAGTCTTAATAAGTGGGAGGCGACACTTGGAGACTTCTAGGGGATGTTTTTGAGGGATGTTATGGGAGTTACAACTCTTGTGGTTTCTCATTGATATTTCTATTTCTTCTTTTAGGTCTTTGGACCCTTGTGTTATAAAAATGGTTCTCCCTAAGTAATAATTTTTAATAGTTGAATATATTAGCCTATGCTTATTAGTAGTTATTTTGGTTTATTTGTTTTTCTAATATCTACTTCCTTTACGTATAATATTTTTATCAAAATAAGCTGGTTATTGTCTTGGATTCTTTCAGAAGAGAGGAAACGCCGAGACCAAGAATGTGGACAAATGAAATCTCTTGTACAAGATCTTGAAAGTATGTTATAATTAGTAATAAGATCTCTCTTTTTCTGGATGGTGGTGGTAGTGTTTATCTTTCTCTATCTTTTCTACATAACATGTGATTAAGGGGGTGTTTGGAACTTATATGATTTTGCTTATGAAAATGTCTTATTATATTTCTTTAAACTCTTTTAGCTTATCTCAATAATATATAGAGTAAACCTTATGAGTAAATTTTGTTTAGTTAACTCTTTAATCCCTATAATATAAGGGTCTTTTGCATTTGGTACTTGTTAAATTCTTTTGTTGATTCTCATGTATATAATATAAGGGTCTCACCATTAACTGCTGGTGTAAAAAAATAAATAAAAGGTGAAGATGAAGAAGTATTCTCTTGGAGTTGCTTGATCTCTCCATATTATACATATTACATTTGGTCTTTATTCTTTGGTTATAAGCATTAAATACTGGCGTGGCTAACAAAGTTCCAACTTAGTTTTGTCATGTCTAATGACAAGTGGAACTTTTTCCAAGTCAACAAAAGTTAGGGACCAAAATAGGATTTTTTTTTTTTTTAATTGCGAGGAAAAGGAAAATTGTAATGTGAAGATTGTGTAAGCTTTAGTAGCTCTATTTAAGTTAAATCTCGTTATTGTTGGAATAAACCATCACCCTTGAGGTTGCAATTAAGGCATCCCTCAAAGATGCCACAACTAAGGCAGACTAGGGGTGAACACAATTAAGGAAACTCTCAACACTCTCCCTCATGCTCAACATTACCAACCTTGAGCATGGAAAATGTTAGTTTCCCAACAATGGATTTATAATAGGTTCTTATACCATCTTGGAAAGTGATTTTGAACCTAATTCAATCATAAAAAAATATTTTGTAAGGTGAGGAATGCCAAGCTCTATGCGCTCTATTTAAGTCATATCTTTAGTTGACTTAGTGTGCAGCTGTACAATAAGCAAGTGCACAACAATAACACAGCATGTGACCATGTGCAGTTGTATATGGTCATAATCAAACTCTTCCTTACTCTTCATGAATACAAGCACTGTCAATCAATTCTTCTTCTTTTGTTTTTAAAGTTATGCATCTTACATTATATACAATGTCCTTAAATAGCAGCTATAGCAGTGCTGTTGTATTGCAGAATTCCTCAGTTTTGCAATTGTGACTCTATCTGCCATTGTTATGGGTGCAGCATGTGCATGTGCCAGTGCTTCCTCTTATCTTTTGCTAATTAAACTTTTGAGTTAATATTATGCCATATTTCTTATATATTGTTTTCACTTATGTACAACCTGAATATGTATATATTAGATTTCAGCCGCTATGAGAATTATTTGCGATGCTATTCACTATATGATATATTGAATTCTTGGATTTTCTCCTTTCTGCAATCTGCAATTGATGACATCTATATGTGCTCTGCATTGTTATTTTGATATAAATACAAACATATTTATTAGTTCACCATGTCTGAAATTTTGTAACAATCTAATGAGGATTTTTTGTATATTAGATATCCAAGATACTTACCATTCTATTTCTATTCTATAAATATATATTTCAGGAAAAGACCTAAGGAGGCTTATTGATAAAATGCAGGTTGAGCTGAATGTTTTACTGTCTGCTTAGTCTTCTATTCCTCTTTCTAGAGTTCATTGTGTGATTTTCTGTGCTGAACATTTTAGGTTCCGGTGGCTGCTGTTGTGATCATGGCATGTAATCGTGCTGATTACCTGCAGAGGACTATTACTTCTGTGTTGAGGTATGCATCATAGTATAACATATTTGATTTATTACTCTTTTATACTTTATAATACAACTATTTATTTTGTCCATCTGACCACGATCTACGTATTTTACAGATACCAAAGGCCCGTTTCTTCAAGATTTCCTTTATTTGTATCTCAGGTATTTTATATGTTTAGCCTTCTGGTTTTCACTTTAAAGCAGTTTCTCTTGTCTCCCTGAAATGATTGAAACATTGTCAATATTTTGCAAATGCAAATACAACATAAACAGCTGATTGTGAAGCAAAAAAATAATACAACATGAACAGCTGATTGTGGTCCTTTATTATCTATTCAGGATGGATCAAATCCAGATGTTAAAAGCAAGGCTTTGAGCTATGATCAGTTATCATATATGCAGGTACTTTGAATGGGATGTACTTTGAAAATCAGATCAGTATCCTCTCATTTCCAAAGGCCAATTACATGTTCTGCATATTAATGGGTGTAAACTGACAGTTAGCTACAATTATGAATTTATGATGATTGCTGTAGATTAGCTAATAATCAATGATTAATTCCTTATTTGTTATAATTATACTAAATTAGTATAATTATAAAAATTAAAGAGCTAGTAAGGTATTTCTTCATTATTGCTAATAAGATTTGTGTGCAAGCCAAGATACCCTATTTCATAAGTTCTCTGTTTCTTCAGCCTAAATTGGATACTATAAATAGAGATGGGCTTTCATTTCTTAGCATAGTCATGTTGTAGAGATATAAAACAATCACTAAAATTATTTTGATCTCAATAAGTTTAGATTTGTGGTTAATTAAGGAGCTAATAGTGTGATAATGCAAAAATAGGTTTGTTGTACTAATAATAGTACTTTGATGCAGCACTTGGATTTTGAACCAGTTCAAACTGAACGACCAGGAGAGTTAATTGCTTACTACAAAATTGCACGTAAGAGTATTCGTCAGTTTTTCTGTGTTGCGTTCTCTATTTAAAAGGAATATTAAATTGATGCTTTTAGCAGGTCATTACAAGTGGGCTTTAGATCAACTGTTCTACAAGCATAACTTCAGCCGAGTAATCATCCTTGAAGGTGAAATGGGCTATGTTTTCAACATTATGTATTTTTTTAAAATCTTTTTATTATCATTAGTAAAAACATGGAAGTTAATACAACTGTATCCAATCTCAGATGACATGGATATAGCACCTGATTTCTTTGATTATTTTGAAGCTGCAGCGGCACTCCTTGACAAGGATAAGTATGTGTTCAATAAGGGCAGAATGCTTAATTTATTTTTTTCGTTATTTATTACACTAGTTTTATAAGACTTTTGGATCTCTTTTCACAATTAATCTATTCTAGGTCTATTATGGCTGTTTCCTCGTGGAATGACAATGGACAAAAGCAGTTTGTACATGATCCATGTAAGTTTATTCATCTGTCGGTTTCATTAATACTTTATTGTTTTCTAATTCATGACTTGCTTTGATATTGTAAATAAATGTGTTCAGAGTCAGATTGGAATAAAATCTGAATTATGATCATAGGTGATACCCTAAAAGGCTATTTGTTGCTTCCTGATATTTCTCATTGATTGCAGAATCCGGTTTCCTTTTTGGAACTAGTTCTGTCTATAAATCAGTGGCCCTATTATTTGAAAGGAACAAGAGAAATACAATATTTCCTTCTCTGTTGTGGTATATGGTATCAGAGCTTTGGCTTTGAGCCTTGCTATCTCCAAAGGTTTCAATGGCCGGTGCCAATTCATTTTGTTCAACAACCGCATGTCAAACTGTGTCTCCTCCTCTAGCGAATGATCTTGTGGACCTCTTAAACCAGATGTTCTATACATTAATGGAAACTGAGAAGAAATCTAACATAAAAACAAATGACTAATGCTCAGGGTACCAAATTTCTTAATTTAATTTTTCATAAAACAAATAATATTGAGGATGGCATAATCTCTTATTTGAAAGGATCATGCTTTTTTCAACTGGCAATGGTTTCTCCGGGACCTTATCCACAGTTGCCCTATCGCTTACTTAAGTCTTTGCCTTTCATGGTCATAATTTTCTTTTTAAATTCACTTGAACACTAAAAAGGTACTAGAATTCAATGCATATTTATTTGGTTTATCAACACATTAATAATCTTACATGTACAGAAATGGGTTTCTAAACATGAGATCATCTACTTCCCCTGTTAACTTTTACAGAATATGATGCATCCATAAGAAAATCATGTTCTTATAAGATATATTGGAATTTGGAAGATCACTGCTACTAGTCTGATGAATTTTGTTTGATATGATTTGCAGATGAGCTTTATCGTTCAGACTTCTTTCCTGGATTAGGATGGATGCTGGGCAGATCTGTATGGGACGAGCTATCACCAAAATGGCCAAAAGCATATCCTTTATATTTCAGTAATTATTCTTGTTTGTGTCTGTGAGGAACCAAGAATTAAACAGAAAAAGAAAAGAAAATTTCTTTATTTAATAGAATAAAAAGAACAAGAAATAGGAGAAGACTCTCCTCCAAGGGTTTCCCCTTCACAAAGGATTTCTCCTTTTACAAAGAGCTAATGCTCAATTTTCAAAAAAATACAAACCCCCTTCTCCTATCCTTCACACCCTATTTATATCTAAATAACACTTTATGCAACTAACTAACTCATCAATATAACTCATTAATATGCTAACTATCTTACTAAGGAAATCTTGGTAAAAATATTTATCATATTGGCATAGTAATTCTTAGAATTTGGATTTAAATTTAGAGTCTAATTTAATCCAGAAAAATCAACTTGTAATGTAAGGACTATTCAGGCCTTATATTAGCCACAACTTGACATTTGGAGCGTAGACAAATGTAGGGACCTAATAACAACACCCTGTTATGCCTAGGAATCAACACTTAGATAGCATATCTTTACAAGTGGCTCAATAATAAATCTAGGATAATCTCATACACTTTCTTAAAATTTGGGTTTACAACATTACTCCACTTTACTGACTTGTAAAATGAGGACTGCTGAAAACTTTGTGAGGATTGCAATGAGGGTGACGTTGTTACACCCTAGGCATAGACTTTTGGAGTGTGACAATATGAGTAGCCTATTAATAGGTTTAAGATAGATTTGATTTTATCTCAGAATTTGGATTTAGAGTCTAATTCAATCCCACAAAACTAGTTTGATAGGTGAGAATAACAAGGCTTTTAAATACTGCATTGCCTATATCTCTAATTGACGTTAGAATTCAACAAGAATAACCATTAGTAAACCAAGCTAATAAATATTAAAATTCATGTCAAGTTCTAATTGTTCCGTCATAGTGTTTGATAGACTTGGTTATTATGTGATATGAGGTACCTAAGTCTCATTGAAGAATATGGAGTGTTTGGTGGAGTACTTAAGCGGTTTGATTTTCTCCCTTTAATAGCTAACATTTATGTTGGGTTTTGTGTTTGGAAAAAGAAAATTAGAAAGATGAGATATATTATGTGGAGGAATTATTATAATGTTTTATTCATGTGCTCTTTATATATAGAACAAAAATATAACAAAAAAAATTCCTAATAACTAATTTAAATAAAAAATAATTAGCATTTATTCTCAACCCTCTTCCTTACCTTGATATATGGTTATTTGAATTTCAAATTTGATTATCCTCTTTTTTATGGTTGTTTTCCTTTTTTTGTTTGCAATTCTTATCATTCTCTTCTTTGTTTGCAACCATATTTTTGTACGTGGTTTGTATAACTACTATCTATAAGTAAACCTTTTCTAAATTTGTTGGTAAAACATGTTATTGCAAAAAGAAGTTCTTCTAATTTTCCCTTTGGAAGCTTGATAACTTCTTGATGTTTAGATTTACATATCTTTCTTACATGTTCCAATTGAATACATTTGACCTCCACTAACACTTTTTATGTGATATATTATTTTTGTTGCAATATTGACACGAAGAAAACATGTGTATTTAGGGATGACAATTAAACCCATATCCGCGGGATGTATCCGTGAATTTGACGAGGGAAAACCGAGTTGACTGGGGCGGGGATATCAGGTTTTTTCCGCTTTAAAAAGTCAGGGACGGGGGCGGGGATGGGTAATGCAATCCCCACCTCGTCCTCATCCCGACTTTATATTTAAATTTAAATTTTAAAATATTAATATTTTAAAAATATTTCTTTTTCTTTTTCCATTACATACAAGACAATCTTTTTTATATTTTACCATTATTACTTTTCTTCTAGCTACTTTTTAATTCTTTTGTCTTTTTTAATCTTTTATATCAATTAGTTCATTACATTATTCTCTTTCTCTTACCTTTTACTTTTCCACATTTCCTTAATCTTTCCAATTAATTTGTTTTTTTCAATATTTTCAACCAATCTGATGAACATAGTTAATTTTTCTTATTTTTTTATCTTTTTTTATTCTAAATATTTTACATAAATATTAGTTGTAACTAATATTATTTTATTTATAATTTATCTTTATTAGATTTTATTATGTCATATTTTTTGGATCTTATTATTCTTATTTGTTATATATCAAATTTTATCTTAATAAAATAATTATATTTTAAAGGATTAAAAAAATTGATAGTTTAAATTTTTATTACTTTGACCTAATTAAATAAGAACTAACTTATTAAATATTTTTTTATAAACTATATATTTCATATTTTTAAATGACAACTTAAAAAGGAATTAATTTACATATATAATCAAATGTTTGAATACAGTATTATAATAATAATAATATTATAAGTATTTTACATCTGTATAAAGAAAAAATAATTAAATGTTTCTTTTCCATACATATTTTAATATAAATATAATAAATTAAAATATATATTTAATTAATAATAATTACAAATTATAAAATTATAAATATTTATTTATGTACAAAATATACAAAAAAATAATAATTTTTTTTATTACACTTTGCTTGCAAGATATGTAATACTTCCACCAAAGTAATCTTAGACAAATCTTTTATGTATTCCAACGAAGCAATACATGTTTTATATTTCTCTAGCACCATTATTAGAATTTTTCTCAACTAGTTTGGAATCAGGAAACTCCGTAACTAACAATTTTATCTTTGTTAGTAATATCCAACAATTTATTTTAGTATTCCTTAATTGTCTTAGATTCTTTTATCCTTTGTAGCTTAAATTCTTTTATCAGGTTTAGCTCTTTCATGCCTCAAAACTTCTCATTATCTTTATATTCTCCTTTCTCATAGATCCTAATTTCTTTGTTTGATTTTAGGATCATGATTTTGGTGATGATCATTTGTGAAATACCAGTGTAAACAAACATGACTTCACTTTTGCCTTCTTCATTTTGTTTCCTTTTAATTTTTTATTTGGGATAGGGTGGGATTTTCAAGTAGCGGATGAACAATGTAATATTCTTCCACAATTTCCCATAGATTCAGTTTCTCTAAATAAGATTGTATTCTTGCAACCCATAAGTCGGAAGTGTTGTCATCAAAGAGTGCAATTTAGACTTTCAAGCAACTTCGGTCTCCTTCCATTCTAATAGGTCTTGTATGGCTCTAGATACCAATGTGTTGGTTTTTCAGTTTAGAATAAATATTTTAGAAATATAAGAGATATATTACTTGGCGAGCTTTTATAATATTTTATTTATGTACTTTCTATATATATATATATATATATAGAGAGAGAGAGAGAGAGAGAAAAAATATACCAAAATATTAAATACTAATAATATTTCAATCTTAATTTCTTAAATTAAAACAATAATCTTATATATTTTTCTCTTTATCAAAACAATATTTTAAGAATTGAAACATAACAAAAAAATTTCTTAATAACTAATTTAAATAAAAAGATAATTAAGCATATATTCTCAACAATTTATATTAAAATTATGCTATAGATAAGGATGCAGTAAATGAATTAAGTCCCTAATTTGTTGCTGTACAACTTTCCATATATATGTATTTGCATTGAATCTATAGGTTCCAAGTACATGATCCCTGTGTACTTTATAAGGCTTTGGGCATTCCAAATACAATAGCTAGCTTTTGTAGTGTGGCTCTCCCAAGCTTCTTATTAGATTTCGTTATTTAGGAAGCACCCTTGTTTAATTTCAGTAAAACTGTAATTGTAAAAGTTTTCTTTGACAAAATATCACTTACTGGGATGACTGGTTGAGACTAAAAGAAAATCACAAAGGACGACAGTTTATCCGACCTGAAGTGTGCAGAACATATAATTTTGGTGAGCATGTAAGTTTGCTAATTGTACATGGAAATTGACCTTTTATACCTGTTAGTTAAATTCTGTGCATGAACCTCATACTTTAAAAAATATAAATTGGTCTAGGGAAAACTAAAATAAATTGTGCTGCATGATAATCTTGGATTTTATTTGTAAAGTTCCCTAAATAAGAATCCTGTCTTAAAATTTATTTCTTTACAGATGGTATGCATTCATGAGTAATCTGGAGTAGGATACAAATTTTTATGGTAAATATTGTTTATCTTTTGCATATTTATTGACTAAAGTTCATGATGCTTCTTACGATTTCTTATGTTGGATATTTGCTTCTCTGGTGTATTTCTAGACTTATGACAACAAAAGTCACAGACATCTCTCCGTCCTTTTAGCTTCTTTATTGTATTCAACCTGGGGTTTCTTTGATAGGATTGCTTTGTCTGTTCATTTTCTTTAGTGTTATTTCTTGCATTTTCTGTTTTTGCTATTTTTGTCTAGGAGAATATCGCATTGTCCTTAATGTAGCTTATCCTTCCATTCACTAAAATGATTTAGAGATCTATAAAAGGTTAAAACAGATATCATAAGTTCTCTATTTTCTTTTTTAACTTCCATTTACTTTAAATCCTTGTTGTGTGGGTTTTGTTCATGCAAATTTAGAAGTCCTGTTATTTTTACAGGGTTCTAGTTTGGGACAATTTTTTAAGCAATATCTGGAGCCAATCAAGCTGAATGATGTCAAGGTACACACGCTTTATGAATAAACTGTCTTAAGTATGTTTTCTTATTATTAGAATGATGCTATTTCCCTTTGGATTGTTGGAAGGTTGATTGGAGATCAATTGATTTGAGCTATTTACTGGAGGTGAGATGCTGCATTGTGTTTGTGTCTGAGCATTTGTGTAAAGGAATGCTGTAATGATATGTGGAATTTGTTTTTCCCTTTGCAGGATAAATATTCTATGCATTTTGCCAACATTGTTAAGAAAGCTACACCTGTCTATGGAGCTGGCATGGTTCTAAAGGCATATAATATTGATGGTGATGTGCGTATCAAGTATAAAGACCAGTCAGACTTTAAAAACCTTGCTCTCCAATTTGGTATATTTCATGAGTGGAAGGTAATTCAACTATTTTTGTTTTTAACTTCACAAAGGCAATGCATCATAATACAAAGTTGGAGCCCTGGTTTTCAATGTGTGATTTTAATCTGCCGTTGCCGATTATTCACTGGACTAGTTATAAATGCAATCACTCTTGTGTCAGTCACGGACGAAATTTGAAACAAAAAGCTAGGCTAAAATCTTGTGTCTATACCTGTTAGAAGGATTTGAGTTCTACAGCAGAAGTCAGGAATACTTATGTTAGTTATTTTCCCAATTTTACAAAATAAGGTTTAAGGATTCCCTGGAAGTTTCCATTCGTTTGGTTGGGTAGGAAGATGAATAGTAAATGCAGTGATTGAATCATAGAACTTACGTCTGAGTATACTTTTAACATGTGTAGCCTGTAGGTGAATATATTATTGGTTGCATCTGATCCTGCATGTAGATTGTATGTAGTGTATCCGTGCGTCACAGAATCCTATCGCTGTTTCCTTGCTTTTTTTATGCCTTTTTCTTTTTGTGGATAGATCTAATTTTATACTACATTTTTTCGCTGCATTGGTCCATTTCCAGGATGGAATACCCAGGACAGCCTATAAAGGAGTAGTCGTTTTCAGACATCAAACTTCACGACGTATATTCCTTGTTGGTCCAGAGTCGTTGAAGCTACTTCAGATCGAAGAGTCTTAATGCCGGATGAGGAAGAAAAATATTTACAATGTAAGAGAGTAGTTGTTTTCAGATTTTAACGGAAGTGTTGCGGGATTATTGATACTGAGCTTAAAGTGACATACGAAGAAGCTATGGTCTGCGCTGTAAGCGCAAAAAAATGCATACGTGAATGTCCTGGAACACAATTATGGTCACCATCCCGAGTATCTTGTAGAGACAGATTTTGCCTTATCATGCGTGAGGTCCTTGGCCATGCTAACCTCATATATCCCTATCCTCCATTCATGTTTCAGAAAGGTCTTCTTTTAAAGGCATTGTAGATTTGCAATTGTTCTATTCCACATGCAACCTATTTCCTGCTGGATTTTTCATTTTAAAAGAGTGGGCATATATATATATATATATATATATATATATATATATATATATATATATATATATATATATATATATATATATATATATATATTATTTAAAATTACCAGTTGCTTTGCGTTATCATTGACAAACACTTTTTTCCTCTATTAGCTATTAACTATGAACCAAAATTACTTTACATCGAAAAATCAATGGACTATATGTGAAATTATATTTAATAACCACTAACATTTCAAATTTGTAAAACTAAAAGGTCAAAAGTGAATTTAAGTATTGTATTGAAAGATATTCCTAAAGATTGGATTTGATTGTTTGAAAAGTTTGGGACGACTTTAAAATAGAATAAATTACAATTATATATCTAATGTTCATCCATCTCTCTTTTCTTTTGTTTTTAATTCGTAGAAAATTCGTTAATTATTATAATTTCACTACAAATTAATTATTTATTAGTGAAAAGTTGCTAAAAAATAGTTTTTATTATTAACTTGTAACCTTATCTTAATTTCATAAATACCTTTTTTAATATTTTTATTAATATATTTGACTAATTAGAAATGAAAAACAAATCTGAGACAAGATTTTGGATAAGGTCAAAGAGTAATTTTTTATCGTTTTACAATTATTATATAAGAAAATCTCATATATATTTAAGATTTGATTTTATTTTGGTTTGTTCTTACTTTTGTAGGTGTATGGTGTATGAACCACAATTCCTTACTTTTTTCTTGTTGGATGTTTGTCGGAATGGTTCAGTCAAGTGAAAGATATTTTTCTGAGAGACTAAGAATATATTGTTGTGGTGGAAGACGGTGAAAGTTAAATATAATAAAAAAGATATAAATAGTCTTTTTCTACACATGTATGTTTAGAAAGTATGATTATTTTGAATGAGTTAAAAAAAATGTTCCAGATGAGATTGACATCATAGAAAACTCAGCAACCTCGTCGAGTTTTATAAATCATCTATGATTTCATTTTTCATCTCTACCTAATTTGAAAACTTTTAGATGATGAAAAAACAAATGTTATTTTAGTTAAATAAGCTTAAGTGAGCAATGTTATTTAATACCAGTATTTTAGGGGAGGTTAACAAAATATTTTAAAAGGCAAGAATACGGAGTACAATAATGATAAACCTCATAGTTCATTGTTATTTACTCTATATAATATTATGTTTTAAACAAGAAAACGGTATATGTACATGCAAATAGGTGTAAACATGTAAGCTAATAAATTCAACTCTTTAATAAACTAAAAATTGTCTTCCTAATATTAATAATACGAGTTTTATTATATTCTTAGATAAAATAATCATTAGTATTGATTTAAACTAGGTTTATGTGATTGTTTTATTTTTTTTGTTTTTAAAAATAATTTTAAAGATCAATTTTAAATAATATTTTTAAAAATAAATGAGAAAAAAGTATTTAATAATTATTTTAAACGAAAAATAATGATAAAAAGTCATCTTAAAAAATGATTTTAATAACTTGATGAAAATGAGTAATTATTGATGAAAACACCAATAATTATTATGAAAACAGAAAACATCTCTTATCAATTTTTAATTTTTAATAACTAAAAAATAAAAAATAATTATTAAAATCTGTTTCAATAAAATAATTATTAAATAATTTTTTTAATTTTTAAAAACTTAAAAAAATAAAAATTATTTTTAAAATTAAAAAACATGTAAAGCACTACTAATACAATAATTATTTTAAAAAAATAAATCCTATTTAGATAGATAACTCAATAAGAGATTAAAATTCTATAAATTAGTAGATGTATTAATTATTTAAAATTTCATATTTAGCGTGTTTAGATAAGGGATTTTAGTGGAGATTTAAATTTTCTTTTGATAAAATTTAGGATTTTGTTAAAACTTGAAATGTGAGGTTTTTGATAAAAAAAAAAAAACTACAAATAAGAAGTTTTAAATCTGACAGAAAATAGTGAATTTGAAAACTGCTTTGTTAATATGGTCTTGTACATTCTCTTTTTTCTACTTTTAGTTTATTTTCTTTCATGCATATGATTTACCTCTTTGGTGGCAAAACTACCAGCTCAGTGGCATGAAGATGACCCGTGGTAATATTTATGTACATACCATATGTTGGATTAGCAATTGTGGTTGACAGTGATGATTATTACGCATGGCAAAATACGTCAACAACTTCGTCTTACCACCAATCCATAGACAATTAGTCCAAGGCGGAGCCACCGGTGGTACATGCACCACCCCAAATTTTTTATTTCTTTGAGAAATTTTATATATATATATATATATATATATATATATATATATATATATATATATATATATTCAAAAGTTTTTATTTTAAAAAATAAATTACCCTCCCTCACTTTTTATTTTTCTCCCCACCTCTGGATAAATCAACGTTAGTCAAAACATCTTATCTATTTTGTTTAGAAGTAGGTTGACAAGTCAAAGAAAAGATTTTTTTTTCTTATTTTACATAATTAATCCGTTAAAGAGTATACATAATTTAAAAATATAATATAATTTTAATATATATATATATATATATATATAAATTATTAAATGATATAATATTATAAAATAAATTAATAATAATTACATATATTTTAACACTTAATAAAATTTATATTTGCTAAACCAAAAGAAGAGTCAAAAGGTGAATTAATTCATCTGATTGGTTAGGCTATCAAGCTAAATGAGAAATATTTTTTTTTTTGGGGTAGTTTATATATGTCATCTTTTCTTAACCCGCTGAAATATATTTTAAGAACAAAATCATAATAGATTAGAACTCAAAAATGAATAATACCTCAAACATAAAAATTGACTCTAACATGCTATCGTAATAAACATGAGACCGAAATATTCTTGTTTCTACATTGAACATTGATGTTCGTTATGGGGTCGAAGATAGAATCTTGTTTCACTCATGACCCTTAGTCTTCAACTAAGGGACTTATGTTTTTGTACATTTATGAGTCTTATATTGTTTAAAAATCAAGATTAAGAGTAGTTTATATTTCCTTTCTTAATCTACCGAGACACCTTTTAAGGATAAAACCGTGACAGGTTAAAACTTTAAAGCAGACAATACCTTAGATATGAGAATTAACCCTAATAATACTATTATAGGCTTCTTGGAAAGTGAGGAGGGATCCTCAAAGTTTTGTAACTTATATTAATATTTATGATTTTTGTCCCCATTGTTCCCAAAGTTTTGTAATTTAAATCAACCATGATTATCAAATATATCTCGCTTATAAATTTATAAACTTGACCTCTCATCCTTTCATATTATTTTATCTTTTCATATTCATTTATTTATTGATAATATATTATTTGTCCCCTTCAAGATCATTGGTCAAGATCCGCCACTAGTAAACATGAGACCGAAACACTCTCTTGTTCCTAGACGAAACATTGACACACATTATGAGGCTGAGACACCTTTTAAGGAAAAAATCGTGGCGAACTAGAACTCCAAAACAAATATTATCTCAGATGTGATAATTGACTCTAATAATGCTACCATAGCTGACATGAGACCGAAGCATTCTATCATTCCTAAACAGAATATTAGCGTCCACTGTGGAGTCTATAGCAGAGTCTCACTCCACTCTTATCCTTTACTCCTCGACTAGGGGGCTATATTCCAATAGGCTCATGAGTCCCACATCGTTTAGGAGTCAAGACCAAGGGTAATTTATACACACTCTCCTTTCTCAAGTTTCCTATATGCCTTTTAAGGATAAAACCGTGATGAACTAGAGTTCCAAAACATAAAATACCTCAGACATGGGAATCGAGACTTTCAAAGCGAATAATATCTCTGACATGATAATTGACTTTAACGATGTTTAACATAACGAACATAAGATTGAAACACTGTCTCGTTTCTAAATTTAATTTATATTTTTTTCTTAAAATTGAGATGAAATAAGACTCTCATTTGAAAAATATTTCATCTAAAATATATAAAAAGATATTATGTTATGAAATATATGATGAAAAATTTTAGGATTTTTTTTTAATATGTATTTTGGAAAGAAGTTAGGTTTTAGTTTTAGTACCATATTAAGGTTTTAATGTTAAAACAATTGATATTATATGAAGTAATCTAAGAGGTATTTAAACCATACCACGTGATACTGAGGGAGACAATGTAAGATTTTATACAACGTATCAATTATATAATCGGCTTCTCATAAATTATATAATCTTTTTAGGCTTCTCATAAATTTAGTCCTTCAAGACAATAATAATAAAAAAATACATTTGAGTATTTAATGATTACAATTTTGACTTTTTAAAACTGTTAGTTACCTAGAATTGTAATATTAATATTTTAGAATTGTAATATAAACTATCCAAGATATCTAATAGAAACTACCCAAGATATATGTAAAATTAAAATATTCTAGCAAATATTTAAACATTTAATTTCATTCAACGTGTAGGTAGCAACTTTCACCACCAAAAATTAAATAGGGATTTGTGAATTTTTTTTTCCTTCCATTATTCTTGTTAGAATCAAAGTTCTTCTTACTACTAATAAAAAATTTTATTAAGTTTTTTTCGAATATATATTTTTGAAATATAAGATATATGATATAATAGAATTTATCTCTCTCTTATATGTATCTTAATATATTATTCATATATATATATATATATATATATATATATATATATTAAAAATATAATAAAATATCACATAATTATCTATATTTTTTTATTCTAAATAATATAAAAATCTCTTAATATCTAATTTAAATAAAATATATTAAAATAATATTCTCAACAATAATATATATATATATATATATATTATTTTAATTTTTTTCAATATATATTTTTTTCAAATATTATCATGTAGAAAGAAAGATATCATTGTAGCAATAAACACATTTCACCAATTTATTAGCATGATAAAATAAATTAAGAATGCTTGAGGAAATTTGTGAATCTCTTCTATTATGATATACTTATTTATATTTATTTTACAGGTTGATTTGCATCATTTAGAGGTGATCTTGTGGTTACGACAAAAACACGGATTATTTGCGAAACTCTTAGAATGCTGTTTTGACCTTAAACAAGATTACCTGGGACGTACGGTTTGGAGATAACGAATAGTTATGAATGAGAAGAAGGTTCAAGCAATAATAGATTGACATATGCCTAACGATTTAAAACATTGAGAGGGTATTATAGACGATTTATTTGTGGGTATACTTCTATACTACTCTAACCAACTTGTTTGAAGAAAGACAAGTTTCATTGGGATATTATCACTTATTTAGTTTTTCAGTATTTAAAAGAATTTTTATTGGGATACTAACGTTGATTCAGCTTTTCAGTATTCAAATATAGCAATGACTTAAGCCTCGTCGCATGCACCACCATATTTTTCTGAAACCTTTCATACTTGAAACTTGAAACTGATGCATCAGGGACTGGAAGAGGTTGTTCTCCGTCAAAGTCATCATCCCATTGCGTTTTTCTCCAAAAATCTAAATTCCATATTGCAAAAGAAGTCTGCATATTTTCAAGAATTTTATATGCAATAACAGGTGCAGTAGCAAAATTCGACCATTACATGATTGATCACAGATTTATGATAAAAATAGACAATAGAAACTTGAGAAACCTGACTTCACTACTGAACATAAATCAAGAAAAGATAATATAGAAGCTCACTGTCTATCTTGCTCTTCTTTTATTCCTTGGTCTCAACATATATTTCAACTTTTGCCCAATCTTAAAGATGTAGTTGTTGATCCGAAATTAAAAGAAAATTTAGAACTATATTGCTGGTAAGACCCCTCATCCTTGTTATGTTGTTCATGACAATTCACTAAACGTTTTAAGTATATTCAAATAGATTGCGACTCCTGTCTGACAATCCTGTTATCTCTCTTCCACATGTTTGCTTACAATTTCAACTTGCAATTATTCTCACCAAAATCATTCCTCTTTCTCACAAACAATTTCTTGTCAACAAATTGACCCTTCTTGATCAATGATATCACTGAGAGAATATCTTAAAAAGAAAATCACATCATAACACTTATGTTTGTTATTATTTATTCCTATCATTGTGCTAGCCTACTAATCATCCTATCATTTTGGAACTAAAAATATTTTTTGTAATCATGAATTATAAATATGCTTAATATATATAATGAAAGGAAAATAGAAAAGGCCTTCTTTTAGTGATGTTAGTCACATTGTATTCTTCCATTCAAGTTTATACATTAACTCAAAAAAATTGATCAAATTAACATTTAAAATAACAATAGAAAAAACGATTAAGTAATAAAAAAGAATAAAAGTTAAAAAAATAAATTCTCAATAAATTCGAATTAGTTTGTGCACAAATTAAAAAATAAAATTAAGAAAAAACAGATAAAAAAAACTTTTACAAATTAACTTACTTAGAACATGTCTGATGGTCTAATAAAAATTTCCTAGAAAAATTCTTATAAATAAAAATAAAAATATTTATATAAATTCTACTTTTAAAATTGTTGAAAAAAAATTATTCATATAAATAACTTTTATTTATTTTAAACAATTGTATTTGTGGTTGACATTTTTTATTCCTAAGAATTCTTAGGAATAACTCCTATTATAAAATAATTTAGCATATGAAAAAAATTCATTTAATTTATTTTCTTCTAAGTTTATAGAAAAGTTTGTTTTCTAATCACAGTACACCATAATTAGATAAATAAAGCAGACCATTAAATAATTTCGACTGCGTATAGCAGGGGAACTATGGAGTATATAAACTTTCATAAATGAACCAGAAAAAGGAACTTTTTTTTTACAGAAATTGTTTCTCAATCTCAACCCACGGAAAAGAGAAAATAATAGAAAAGAAAATTTTAAAAGAGAAAAAATTCAAACAAAGCCGTAGATTGAAAATAATTAGCAGGTACCGTCAAAACTTTCAATTTATCATATCCTTAGGTCAGTTGTACTTTGGCATCGTCAATCTGTTTTGCTCCGACAGAGAAGAACTCAATGATCACTTCCAGTGGCATGCCCTTTGTTTCTGGAACTTTCAAAACGACAAACACCCATGATATGAAGCACACGACAGCATAAATACCAAAAACACCAGCGAGGCCTACAGAATTGAGCATAACTGGTAGTGTGTAGGTGACAATGATATCACAGATCCAAAAGGTAAGAGCACAAATGGCAATGCAGAGACCACGAACTCGAGTGGGGAAGATCTCTGCACAAAGTATATTAGGAATTGGCCCAAATCCCATGACAAAGAAACAGAAATATACAATAACACTAATGGTTGAGATTGATGCATTTGCAGTGCTGCCCAAATCCACAAGACTCCCCAGGACTAATATGAGAAGAGAAACTATTAGGACGGGAATTGTACTAAGCAGTAAAGTCCTGCAGAAAGGAAAAAGCAGAGTATCACTAAGAAGCATTGCAATTGACAGAATAAAAACGAGCAATGGGAAAAGACACAAGGCATCGCATTGCCAGGTACTAACTACACAGAGCAGATATTCCAGCAACCATTAAATATGCAGCTTACAAGCATTTATCTATTTCTGTATCTTCGGACACCTATCAAATTATAAAAAAAAAAAAAAAAAATTCTTTTTTATTTTATCTCTGATGGTGGTATATTAAAATCCCCTAATTATTTTTGGCAACTGCAATAATTACTAAACGACAAGTACCCACCACACCAGCAGCAAAACATTTATTCACACAAGATAGCAATAGCCAAGATATTTCATCAAACAACTACTAGAGAAAAGTAAAATATGTAAACCTTATAGACTTCTAAAAAAATAAAACAAGCAAAAAATATTTCGCATAGGAACATGAAAATAGAATAAGTAAAAAATTGCTCCTTATACAGGAGGAAAAACAAGAAAAGAAAAGAAAAGAAGGGGCATTGGGATCAGCAAAAATCTCATGAACAAATTATTCAAGCTTGATACAGCAAAGACTGAAAAAGTCAAAGCCAGCTGTTATAGATATCTTCTTTAAACTGAATGATTTTAGAGAAGTGCATGAAGGGGGGAAATGCAATAGAAAAAATAGTTTCTTAAGAAAAATGCCCCGACAACTACATCTACCTCTTTAAACATATTTCTTACTATTTGATAAAGAAGCCAATAATAGAAAATGGTAATCCGGAGATGAATACCTTCTGCCAGATATATCCATGAGCCTCATGGCAACAGCTATACAAGGAAGCATCAACAAGGTTGTCACCGCACTAATAAGAAAGGATGAAGAAGTCGAACTAAGGCCTAGGTTTGAAAGAAGATAACCAACACCTGCCTGCTCAAGAATTTGAGGTGTGTAGTAGAGGACTCCATTTATACCAGAGAACTGCATTGAAAAAGGATTTAGGTGAGTCCAGCATAACTTTTTACCAGTAGAAGAGCCAGGCCTTTATTGGTTTACATAAAGATGTTAAAGAGTATTTAATGAATAATAATCTATGGACTTAATTGTTCCCATTTTGGAAATATGCTTATCAATAATTCTAGTTTTGCAATTTTTTATTTTTATAATAGAACACCACAAGCTGTGACTACATGGTAACACCAACTGTTATTAAACAACTTTCAAAGCAAAACCCACATATATTTAGGAAAAGGTGTAGGTTGATTTAACAGATTACCTCAGCTTTGGGGTTAACAGAGTTTTTCAGTTAAGTAAAATCGGTAACAGTGATAATCTAGCATGGACAAATAATTTTTGACACAATTTCGACAAAGTTGGATTTAATATCATTATACCATTAACTCATAAAAGATGTATTTTTTTAACATTATTAAAAACAGAAACCACTTTTTGGTCTCAAATTCCAAAATGTATGTTATCAACTAAGCATAATACGAATCTAGTTGTAATGAACAAAAAAAGTGTTCCAACCTTGGGATTCACAATTTCATGCAGATACATTGAGGCATAATACAAAAAATTATCAAGTAAATTTGTTTTTTTTTTTTTATCAAAACAGAACTGAAAAAGTATTTTTCAAATCCACAGAATTTTGCTTAAAGCATTTTGATACTATTTCCTAATTTTACATTTGAAAAAGTCTGATTTACATTTAACACCTGCTAAAACAATTTCATCCACGTAACTCAAATAACATCTCAAATTTAAACTTTTCTTTTTAAAAAGGCACTCTTTCTATATATCATTAGTTGCAAAAGTAATTCTTTTAAAAAAAATTAAAGATCTCTGTGCCAGCAAAGGCCCAATTAAATTATTTGTTGAAGCTCAGATAAACTGTATGGATACTGTTGAAAAATACAAATGATTAACATCTGTTTATACTAATAATCTAGGTCAAGTACTAAGTGGTACAACTCTACGACTGGTACAAGACTATGAAAATCAGAAAACTACTTATATCGGTACACAATCCAGAGGACATCTTACAAAATATATTCTTAAGCTCTATAAAAAATTGCACAGGTGGAAGTGTTATGGGTTGACAATTAACCTGTACTTGCATGTTCAACAATTTTTAAGAAGGTAAACAAGATGAAAAAAAGCACCAGTAAACACCACTTGGATACAACACAATGAACATTTCATCAAAAGGCAAAGAAAAGAAAGCACTGAAGTGCAACATTAGAATAGATGGGAACAGAAAGAAGCAGATATTGAAAATGTCATTACCTGCTGAAGAATTTGAAGTCCCACCCCCACAATTAATGCATGCTTCACCCCAGGTTCAAAAAGGTCACTCCAACTTGGCCCTTTCACAGTTGTTTCAGATGGATGAATCATAGCTGGTCCAACTGGTCGTTGATGCATAAGCTCCTTGTTATAAAGGGCTGGCTGACTCACCAAAGCAGCAGCCTGTACAACCTCACCATCATTTGGTAAATCACCACCAGGGAGCGAAACCACAGACCCACGCACTCCAGAACCACCATCTTGGTGTAAATATATTCTCTTGAAGCCACTTTCCTTGTTTCCATCTGGGCCCTCTCTTTCAGTCCATTTCCATGCTAGCTGCCAACCACCACCAATCCTGGTACTACCAGTGGGTTCTCCTGCATTTCCATGCAAAAGACTACCTTGCCTCGTGCTTGAAAGGTTGTTGTGAGCAGAAGGAGGTATGTCCTTATCCAGACTCGTTGTTTGACGTGAGATCAATGGACTCTGCAAATTGTCATCAGAATCACCGGCTGCAGCATCAGAGACATAATCATCACCCTCTCTGGCAAGGCTTTCTTCATCCCAATCTTCATTCCTAGGCTGATTTCCCCCAACACTAAACATACTCCCAAAGTGTGGGAAAAGGGTGCTTCCCATGCTTCCTGTTTTCGGGACCTTCTCATGAACACTACCAAAGAGGTTCACTAGTGGGTCCACTATACCACTCGGATTTGCCATGCTTCCTTTCCGAGATATAAGGCCAATCGAACTTTGTCCAGCAGCAGGTCTAGCAACCCAGGACTGACCTTGTTCAGGTCCATACAACTTAATCTGATCCTTTTCTGTGTGCGGATCCTCTTCATCACCAAGTTCATTGGCTGGACCAATTATATACTCTTCTATGGCTGTATCACCTCCAACTCCAAGACCCTCAACCAGTAAAGCCATTTCACCTGTCCATGCCCAATGACAAATACTAATGAAGTAATGCATATATACACATTATTACTGCAGAAGAATCAAAAGAAAGTAAACAATTTGAAGTTGCCACAAATATCAAAATCCCAAAGATACAAAAGATAAACGTTAACTTCATGCATCTATAAGGAGAGAATGAAAAAAAGAAAAAAGATGATCAACAGTTATGGAAACTGAAGCTTCCCGAATGATTAGTATATTTATATGCTCTCTTTCACGATGATGATCAACAGTTATGGAAACTGTTAGACATACATCCAACAGGAATTCACTCTTTCAGTACACCATCATATGCATTGACATGATAAAGTGATAGGGTGGATTTCTATTGGATGTTTGTGAAAAAAATGTAATAGTGCATACATTAAAGAGATAAAACACACATCTGAATGTTTATACCACCCCGACCCCTCCACTCACTTATTTTAAGAATGCATTAAATATTTATAATCATATTTACATGAAAAACTAATCACTGACAGACCTCACAGATAACAATCTATTGTTCATTGTCAATTCTTGTTACCCACCACAGATGAGCAGTGAAATGATTGTGCAAACTGGAACGATCAGGCTCATAGAATACATAATCTAATCATCCAAACCTCAACAGCAGAATGTCCAGCACACAAACAGCTAAGATCCGATTTGAACATCAAAGTAGTAAAACATGAAAAATGTAGGAAAAGCAAGTCATGAAGACTAGACAAGAAACTAACCGGCAACATCTTCCATTCCACGAAGGCGCTGCAAAACCTTCTTGGCCTCAAGCATTCGGCCTTTACTAACAAGCCATCTCGGAGACTCAGGCAAGAACAACAGTGTCAGTGCAAAATAAATAAGAGAAGGGATTGAAAGTACACCCAACATGAGTCTCCAGCTTGGCGCCTTTGTCAGTGACATCCCAAACACCATACAATAGGAGAAAAACATTCCCGCGGAACCAGTAAACTGTGGAAGTGTATTGAGTAATCCCCTAATCTCAGGAGGAGCTGTCTCAGATATGTAAAGAGGTACCAAGGTAACTGCCAAACCAATTCCCAAACCATCTAAAAGCCTTGCAAAGAGGAGGATATAAACATTTGGAGACCATAGCATCACAAGAGAACTAACAAAATAAAGGAGAGAGGAAATAATCAACATAGGACGTCGGCCTAGCAAGTCCGATAGGGCTCCAGAGCATGTGGTAACCACGGTGGCTCCAATAAGTGACATAGCCACAATTAGACCTTCAACTGTAGGTTGACTTTCTAATTGAAACTCCCTTTTTATGTACAAGATAGATCCTGCATACGAACATAAAGAAATCCAGTTGAATGATCCGATTATGGTTAGATCAGCCAATTTTAATTCTCCATACATGAAAAAAAGAACAAAATCAATAAACCAAATCTTTAAGGAAAAAAAGTTGAAAGAGAAGGGAAACGGACCTGCAATAGTCGCATTATCCCATCCTTGCAGTAAGTTACCGATGGCAGCAGCAACAGCAACAAGAACAGCTCCACTCATTGTTTCAATTAGTTTCGAAATCAATCAGCCTGAAAAAGCAAATAAGGTAGTCGCATGTAAATATTTAATGGATAGATCAGCACAACCACTGTAATATAAGATATTCACGAGTCCTAAACCTAAGTATAAGCACAGGCACAATAGATGGATGAGGCAGGGCAGAATGACAGATCCAGAATGCAAACCCACTTTTCTATTTCAATACCTAATAATATCAGCTTGGCTTCAAGGGTGGGTGTTTCAAGTATCTGAGATGCAGAAAAGGACATGGGTCACTCACTCACTGCAACATGGATCGGAGGGGGCGAACTCTTTCTTTCCTTCTTTCTCACCTTTTTTTTTTTTAATCTTAAAATGTGAAAAAAAACTAATACTAGAGTGCAGTACTGAGACAACGAAAGGCGCGTATAGAACACAGCACAAGTAGCGATCCTATTCGTCGGGTCGAAAAGTAAAGCAAATTGAGCCCCTCTTTTTTTGCAACAGAGGCTCGCTAGTAGACACCTGGCCTTCTGCCTCTCCTGTTGCTCTCCACGTCGCCTCCTTCCTCCACCCAAATCAGTTATGATTCAAAACAATTATCATTAACAAGAAACACTTTACACTTTGACGTCGTTTTCACAACAATAATAAACAAAATTATAATTTTTTTTTCACGGGCGCTGCAATAATAAAACCCGTTGCCCCGCAAATTATATCAAACATCAATGTCTTTAATAATATAAAATCGCATCAATGCAAATCAATCACAAATAAATTAAGATTAATTTTATTTTTCTTTCAATCATCCTGTCTAAAATTTATTAAAATGTTACATTTTCATTAAATTATAGTACACATTAACAATAACGTATGAAAATTGGATTTATAGAATTTAATTATGTTTTAGGTCAACAATTATTCTAACTGCACATTTTTAACTTTTGAATTTTTTTTCACACACTTTGTGGTCAAACTCCAAAATGGACACTTTTCAATATATAATGGTGTAAATATAACTTTAGTTTATGAAAAATTTATATAATTAAATATATAATGGTATAAATAATATATAATGGACACTTTTATATTTTTTAAAATTATTATTATAGCAATTAATATCTAGATAACGGACATATTTGTTTTGAGCTTATTTAAAAAATTTTAAAAACAAGCAGATTTGTGTTTAATCAAATGTTTGTCATTTTAAAAATAATACTTTTTACGAAACAATACTTACCTATTTTTTTTAATGAGTGGTTTTTTAATTATTTATTTAAAAAAATACTTAGGTTAACTTTAAATAAATTGACGCAATGTACATTATTATTATTAATAATACAATGTCAAATCGTGACACTTTCAAATAGTTTTTAAATCTCTAAAATAAATATCATTTATATACCTTATATAAACTTATTGAAAAAAACTGTGATTTTAGATCAATTAAATTTAAAAAGAATTGTTAAATAAATATAAGAATTACCAAAAGTTGGTTCATTATGTAAGGGCTAAAAACATTAACTTTAAAATTTAAAAGAATAAAGATAAAGAAAAATATCATGAGAACTATTTCACACTTCATTCTACTTTTCCCAAGTTTTTGAATTGTTCTTATTCTAACAGTCTTCTCTTAATATCTAGATGTTATTAATAAGATGCACCACCTACACAAAATATCGAAAATTATATAACCACACATTAATAACAATATTACTAGTTCTTGCTTTGCTTTTATTTTTATTGAGAGTATCAACCCTCTTCAACTCCCAAACAGATTAGTCACTAGTTTTGAAATTCCATATCAGATCTTTCGAGAATATTTACTATAAGGAAGATCATAACATAACGTATATAATAAATTAATAATATTTTTAATTTAAAATCTTAAAATATTAGAGTTTTTCTCATTTACTTAATTTTTCATTTTTGTGAGTGGGACTTCAAATCATTAATCTTTCTCATTATATTTAACTTTCTCATCATTTTTATTACTGACCCTTCAAACCACACTTAAATTTAATTATAAGGCTTGGACTGATTGATTAATGATCTTTAAAGCTTCCCAAATGGAACTCTGATGATTCTTGTCTTGCGTTTCTTTCTTCGTTTCCTATGTTATGAACACTAAGATATATATATATATATATATATATATATATATATATATATATATATATATATATATATATATATATATATATATATATATATATATATAATTTATTTATGTTAAGATTTTCATAACAAAAAAATTCCTGATGAAGGATTGTTACGTTACGCCCATCCCACACAAGCGCTAACACACAATAATAACAAGATTCTTCTCAGATGAAGGATTAGATGGTAGGACATAATTGAATATTTGTGAGTTGTCACCGTCGCACATTGGGGTCTTCGTTGTCTTCTTTCCCACCGTATGCATGGTGGTGGTGGTGAAAGAGAATGATCCGCATCTGATATCATCATTTGAACCTCTAACGCAGTAGTCAATTACATTAAAATATAATACAATTATTAACATATTCAAACTTTAGATAAAACAATTAATATATATTTTAATTCAATTTAATTAATAATACTAATATATATTTTATTTGCAATTTATAGAAAACTTAGATTAAAAACTATCGCAAGATTTATTTATGTGAATGTTCTAAAAGTATATTTATTCCTAAATATAATTTGTAAAAAAATCACATAATTATATTTATTAAGGTAAACATAACCTATATGATATCCATAATTTGGAGTTATATTAATTATACTACTATATCCTTATTCACATTAATTGACAATTAAGATACAATATATATAAGTTAAAAAAAGAGCATTTATATTAAAAAATTTGTGTATAATTTATAATATTTACTTTGACTATTTAATATAAAATTATTTATATATTCAAGTCATATATATATATATATATATATATATATATATATTCGATTATATTTAAAATTATGATAAAATATATTTGCAAGTTATACATATATAAATAAATAAATGTCCCTTTAAGTAAAATAAAAATTTATTTTTTATCCTCATCATTTGTTTCTAATAATTAAAAATAATAACATATATATATATATATATATATATATATATATATATATATATATATATATATATATATATATATATATATATATATATATATATATATATCCAGTAGACAACAAATGTTTACGTGCAACGGGTACTTTTTACCCGTTACAAAAGTACCATACTTTTAAGCGATCGAAAATGACTCTACAGGTCCTTAAAAGTAAGAAACTGAATAGTTCTCTCCTCAAGAGTCCCGAGAAACTATTATATACTAATAAATAAAGATAAGTATAAGAAAAAAAAATCCAGCTCAACAATAGCGCATATTAACCTAACTACTATTCTGTAACAAGATGTAATGTAACGGTAACAAAACCAGTTGGATTTGATAAAATCAAATTAAATTTTCCCTTGACACTTGGAAAATGGGACTGCGTGTGTATACAAGGACGACTATAATGGAACCAAGCTGCAGCCACATCTCAACTAATTTGGAAATGCGACAGCTTAAATGGAAAATTAATTTTACTGTTCAATCAGTTAAAACCTACGTTGCTTGACACTTCAGGTCTGTCTCTTTAGTCAACTCAGTCACAGTATTCTGTTCAACTTTCACATTATCTTCATCAGCTTTCTGAGAAGAAATATCTAGAGCCTGCAAAAACCAAATCCATCCAGACAATTTTGTAAACGACACACAACTTCCAATAAAATACACTGATATCAATCTACAGATTCGGTTAGTGTTTATGCAGTTGCGCTTTATGTTGTAAAATTCACCTTCATGCAAGTTTCAGCAACTGCAGTATCAGAGCCTCTCAAAAACTCCCCACTTCTCTGGTCATCCTGAAACTAAGCCGGTATTACACGTTGTACAAAGTTTCATATGAATTTATGTTCCAAATCACATAATGGTTTTCAACAGAAGCAGTCCGAGCACTGGAAGAGCAAACGCAATTCATTTAAGTGCTACTCAATGGACGATATATGGTGCTGAGTTGCATAATTATAAAAGAAATAACATATAACTGTTTCCAGGCTCTATGTCAACAAGTTGCTAATTAATTATTGTTAGAATAAACTGTTGGTAATAACATAGAACACGGGAATATCAGCCGATGGCTGAGATTTCATGACCATTCTTTTTTTAAGCTTAGCCTAGATTGAATTTAGGTCTTTTATTTTTTAAAATTAATTTTTCTTTATAATTTTCGGTCAGGTTAAATTAGCTAATTAGTCTAATAACTTAATATAGGACCGAGTTAAGTAAAAAGTTATGATCCATTTTAAAATGTAAATCAGATTGAATCACCCATTTTTTTTTTTCCCTTGATCCGTAAATACAAGTCAGATCGGACTGGATAATATGTTTTGATAGCTGAAAATTTAAGCATCTAAGAATATTTATTAAATTTGCTTGTCTAGGCTCATCCATCCAAAGATAGAAACCAGATAGTGTTGCATGAACTATGTAGTCATACCAGTTTTTAGTAAATAGGGTAATTATATGTTGTATAGTATTATCTAACTTTCAGAAATGATGGTAAATGTAAATCCTTCCTTATATTTATTAATTCCGTCAGCCATCATTGTCAACCCCTGTTAGCTATCAGCTCCCACTGTTCAATTTCATCACCACCATCCATCACTAATCTTGCAATGTTGACCATCCATCAAGTTATATAAGAAGTTTTGTAAAATTCAGTTAAATTGATATCTATTCTCATGTCGAGAGCTGTCTAACCCATCATTCCACTCGTTATAGGGTTACTATCAGACCACCTATAAATATTTAGTTACATGTTCGAGATGTTCATTCTTTGGCGTGAGAGAATAATGTGTTGGAAATTGTTCATCAATTAGATATATGACCAAATTATAATATATATATATATATATATATATATATATATATATATATATATATATATATATTAACCTTTCCTTACAAACCAGTTTTGGAAGGTTGAGTAAGGTCTATATCCACCGTCAAAGAAGTTTATTGGATCTGGGTCAGGTTTCAAGGACCCAAAATAGTTTTTCTACCTCAAGTTTGGGTTGGGTTATGCTGACCCCGAGTTACTTCTTCCTTTTGAAAGAGGTAACAAATAGGCAATGTGATTTCCTCCACGTCCGTTCCGTGACACCCAAAGAAATTGTGATCAACCCCATGTGAAACCCAAATCGCCATGGCCAATTTTTTACACCATTGATTGTGATAGAGAAAGTAAGAGAAATATTATAATATTTAAGTGTGTCTCCACAATCCAAATAACCTCATTTATAATGGAAGGTGGAAGGTTGTACAGATACATTGATTAGAGGGGAGATGAAAAGATTAACTTTTAAAAGATACAACTCATAGATAGAAATAACTAATTAATACCAATTTAGGAAATATAAATCTTGTGAATCTAATACTCCCCCTCAAGCCAGGAGCATACAAATTATATGTATCTAAACTTGAAACAAATAAACTCAATTTGATGTCCTCTCAAAGACTTTGTCAATACTTCAGCAAGTTGATCATTGGACAACAATTTCAGTACTAATTTCTTAGGACAACATTTTCCCAAATAAAATGACAATAAATTTCTATATGTTTTATTCTCTCATTAAATATTTCTATATGTTTTATTCTCTCATGAAATACCGTATTTGAGGCAATACGGAGGGCGGTTATCACATTACATTTTCATTTGTTGAACCTTACAAATGTTTAACTCTTGGAGGAACTGTTTTACCCACATAAGCTCACAAGTAAGAAATACCATTACTCGGTATTCAACTTCAGCAGTTGATTAGGTAAATACATTTTGTTTTTTGCTTTTTCAAGAAATGATATTTCCTCCAATTAAAACACAATATCCTATGGAGGAATATCTATCCATAGGAGATCTTACCCAATCAGCATCATAATATCCAAAAACTTTGGTATTTAATTTATCTTCATATAATAAGCCTTGTCCAGGAGCTTTTTTATGTATCTTAGGATACGGATGACAAATTCCAATGATATGTACAAGGAGTTTGTATGAATTGACTCACAACACCTATTGCAAATGATATATCAGGTTAAGTGATAGTAAGATAAATAAGTTTCCCAATCAACCTTCTATATCTTTCTGGGTTAGAGAAAACTCAAGTGATAGTAATCTAAATAAGTTTCCCAATCAACCTTCTATATCTTTTTTGGTTAGAGAAAACTTCCCACTTGTCACTTCAATACCTAGAAATATTTGAGACTTCTAAGATCCTTGGTTTGGAAATGATTACATAAGTGTTCCTTTAATTGGGATATTGTCGTGACATCATTCTCTGTAATGACAATATTATCCACGTACAATATTAAGTAAACACATTTTTCAAGGGATGTGTGACAATAGAAAACTTAATGATCTGTTTCACTACGTTTCAATCCAAAGGATTGAACAATGGAACTAAATTTTTCAAACCAAGCTCATGGAGATTGCTTTAGATCATAGAGGAAGGGCCCAAGTGAGGACTCTCCTTCACTAGAGCTTGCACTATTATGACTCATTTTCTATTTCTATAAGCTTTGTAAAAATATTGTATAGATTTTAATTCTTTCTTTTCTTGTAAATTTAGGACTAAAAGGGACACACTCACCTTGTGCGAGCCATCAAGACAATGCGTGAGCCACTTGAAGGTTAGGGTCACACTTGAAGAGCCAAACTTCAACTCTTGGTTTCAACATTTGGGAGAATTATTGTCTATAAACATTAAAATGCAAATAAAAAGTGTGTTATGTGGGACTTGAAGGAGGGTATGTGAAAATTTGTGTAGAAGGGAGAATTAATCCCACATCCCTTAGGCTAATGAGTAAGGAGAGGAGGAACATCTATAAATAGAGCCTTCATGCTTGTATTTTTTTTCCCAAGTTGAGTTGAATGAGCATTGAGAAATTGATTTGTTTATTTGTTTATCCCATTTACTTGTCTTTGAGTTCAATTTTGGGAGAATTTTCTCCTACCTCTCCTAATAAGGAATCTTCCTTAAATAGGGAACTAGTGCTGAGATCTCTCTTGAGAGAACTTGGGAAATATTGAGTTATTTTTCAGAGGCTCAAGGTGGAAGGAAACCAATGTGGAATGCATTGTGAACATTTAATTAACAAATTAACCATTTGTAAGTAAGAGCTAATGTGAATAAATTATGAAGAGGCTCAAGGTCGAAGGAAACCAATGTGGAATGCATCGTGAACATTTAATTAACAAATTAACCATTTGTAAGTAAGAGCTAATGTGAATAAATTACGAATAGAAACATGTTTAATTACGTGAGAAAATGTTTCATGAAAGTCAAAGCTTCACTGCTAATTAAACCCTTTTTGCAATCAACATTGCCTTGTATCTATCATAGTACCATTAGGATCTTCCTTAATCTGAAATAGCCATTTGCAGCTTTTGGCAATTCAGTGAGGTGGAAGATGAACATGAGACCATGTTTCATTATGTTGGAGAGAAGGTAGTTCTTCTTTCATAGCAGAAACCATTTTGGATCATGGAAAGCATGCTTGGTTGTTGTAGGTTCTAAGTTAGCAAAAAGTGCAGGATGGATGTGGGGTTGTACAATACCAGTCTTGGACCTGCTTTGCACAGGATGGATATTTGGAGGTCTAGAAGCAAGATGAGATTCAATGGTAGGAAGGTAAGATGAAAAAAATAGGTACAGAGGAAGAAGGTGATGAAGTAGAGAGTAAGGGTAAAGAAGCTGAGAGGTTCAGTGGAAGACAAAGGTATTTAAGGAGGTAAAACTGCAGGAAAAATGGAGGAAATAGAGGAAATAGGTGATGATATTGTAGCAAGTTGCGTAGGTAAGAAATCTGGTTTCATTGAAACTAACATCTTTTGGAGATATAAATTCTGGCAGGAGATAAGAACTAGTAAATTATGCAAGCAGTGGATGGCTATAAGGTAGTTATGTGTGCATTTGGTAGTTTTGGATAAAGATCATTCTTTATACGTGTCTCAACTATGGGACAACTATAGTTTCTGCATAATTTTGCGAGTTTAATCATATTGCGCACACCATTTTGGTGTTCTATCATTATGATATGACAAACCTAAAAGGTAGCCTATAATGATTAAACATAATACAATTAAACTTCAATCAATTTGATTTATTAAAAAATCAATAAAAAGCCTCAAGGTCACTGTGGGGAGACTCTTAACATGCTTTTGCAGCTTCCCAACTCTTCCAAAAAGTTAGAAAATTTTAACATGATCAAGCTTCATGCTTCTCCAATTGTCTAATACTTGAGATATCAACATTTTTAAAACTATATATAACAGTACCAATGTCATTCGACATTGTCTTTGAACCCTAAACATTTCTCTCAAGTTGGTATCAGAGCTGGTAAGATCCCATACTGATTTCCTTTGTCTTTGTCATCTCCAGCCACTCAGGGCCACTATCCTTTGACATTGTCTGGCGTCGTCAATCGGCGTTGTTCTAACCGAGAAAACTAAGGCTCAATGTGCCTCGAGGAGTGTAACCCAACCCTAACCAATCCAAGAGTGGTCAGTCTCTCACACGTGAGCATCACACATCGCCTTCCAATGGTCAAAATCTAGTCAGGTCCTGTCGTTTGAAATCTTTAGGGGTTGGGTTATGTGCTTCTCTCCCTTGGTTAGGGTTTCCTCCCTCGTTTTCTTTATTTGAGATATCTCCAATCAACCCTTCTTCCTTTTTTTTACCACTCCCACTATTATTGGTGTGGGTACCATGACCATTTGAAGATTGAAGCTAGTTTCATTCTTGATTCTAGAGAACCTCAATAAGATAGATTTTCAATGTGCAATATTATGGCAATCTATTGAACCGAAGGTTCTAGAAATTCTCATATCATTCAAGACTTATTTTTCTTTTTGGAAGAAATCACAAATATCATTAGCAAAAGCTAGGGGTACTGTGGAAGAAGTGAAGAGGTTTCTAATGGCAAGCACCTTGGAGGTGCTTATTAAGAAACTGGATAAGTTGTACATGATCCTGATTTTGATAATTTGCATGATCATATATTGGCTAGTGCCGAGATTCCTTCAAAGGACAGTTTAGTTATTAGACTTATTTGTGTACCCAACTTGATGAAGGATAAATCAGGTTGAAGCTATTGAAATCTAAACAATGGTTGTTTCTTGTGGACAAAGGGAATGACACAATAGTCAAGGAGGATATGGTAGTAGAAGTGTACATCCTCAATGTTCTTATTGCAAAAGAATGGGTCACACAAAAAAAAATTTATTCCTTGCATGGATATCCTGTCAAAGCTGCCCATATTTCTAAATTTGAAAAATCAAATTTTAAGATTTCTAATGATTATCAAGCATTTTTACGTTTAAATCTGAGATATTCAACAATCAGGGTGAATCTTTTTCGATTTCAAGTGTTTCAACATGATGTATTTCTCAATATGTGAAAGGTTAGAATCCATGGATTCTTGATTCAAATGCCTCTGATCATATCTTGGGTAAGAGTTCTTCATTTTTCTTTATGTGTTATCCTAAAATTCCTCAATTGGTTACTATGGCTAATAAATCCAAAATAACATCTTAAGGAGTTGGTCAAGTTCCTTTATCCCCTTCATTAAATTTAAACTATGTTCTTTTCATTCCTAATTGTCCTTATAGCTTGATTTCTCTAAGTCAATTGACTCACTCTCTGAATTGTTCTATAACCTATAATTCAAATTATTTTGTTATTTAAGAACATGGTATGGGTAATCTGATTGGAGAAGGATATGAATCACGTGGTCTTTATTATCTGAACCCAACCCCTTTGTGTCGTGTCTTCCTACTCCTTCCTACTCCTGCTCCAAAACTTTTGCATGATCGTTTAGGAATTAGGAAAATGAATCACATGGTTTTAAGAATGTGAATCTTGTAAATTAAGAAAACATATTAAGTCTACATTTCCTAATCAGTCCAAACTTGATGTAATTTTCCTTTTTCCATCATTCAAGTTGATATTTGAGAACCAAGTCCTCTTCTAATTTTCAATATTTTGTAATCTTCATTGATGAGTTTTCCAGATGTAGTTGGGGTTTACTAAATGAAAGACAAATCTTAATTTTTATCTATATTTACATTTTTTTTAATGAGATTAAGAACTAAATTAGAAAGATAATTAAAATCCTCATAATGCTTATGAATATTTTTCTGCTATATTTTTCTTATTTTTATCTTGAATTTTACATCAATCGACATGTCCTCATAACCCACAACAAAACAATATAGTAGAAAGGAAGAATAGACACCTTATTGAGGCTACATGCTTTCTAATGATAAATGCTAATGTTCTTGTTCATCAGGAGATGTAGTTCTAATTACTCGTTTTCTAATTAATAAAATGCCTTTTCTTTTCTTCAGAATCAAATTCATCCCCTTACCATATGTCTCCACATGTATTTCGATGTATTTATTGTGTTTATAATGTTTCTCCAGGTCTTGATAAACTCAGTGCAAAGACCATTAAATGTGTTTTCTTTAGGTATTCTCATCTTCAAAAATAGTATAAATGTTATTCTCCTTCAACTAAAAGGTATTATATGTTTGTTGATGTTACTTTCTTTGAGAACACACTCTTCTTTTCTTCCCCCATGGAGAAGTTCCTCCTATTTAGCAAGTTCTCCCTATATCCTCATATAATCCACTTATAATACCTGATCTTTCTCCAACTCAAATTGTAGGTAACACTGATCCACCTCTTCTCACATATCAACAAAGGGTTCAACCTACTTCTTTACCTGTACCTGAAGATCCTCATGATTTCAATTCTTCTCCACCCTGATTCTGCTTCTGGTTTGCCTATTGTTTTAAAAAAAAGAAAAAAACTCATTCTATTCGTAATCTTTTTTCTATTTATAATTTTTTAAGTTATCACCGTTTGTCTCCTTCATATTCTTCTTGTGTTCTTTCCTTATCCACTACTTCTATCCCTAATGTTGTTTATGAGGTACTTGATTATCTGGGATGACGGCAACTCATGATTGATGAAATGCACGCCTTTTAACACAATTGCACTACTTGAACCTCTTTCTCCTAGTAAGAAGACTGTGGAGTAAATAGATTTATGTAGTTAAAATTGGTCCTAATGGTGAAGTGGATTGTCTCAAAGCTCACTTAGTGGCTAAAGGCTACTTCAAATTTATAGTCTTGATTACTATGGTACTTTTTCTCCTATAACTAAGATTTCCACTATTTGACTCTTATGATGATTATTATTAGTCATTGGTCATTTCATCAACTTGACATTTCATGGTGACCTTGAGGAAGATATTTATATGGAATAACTTCCTGAGTTTGTTGCTTGAGAAGTCTGGGTTAGTGTGTAAACTATGTTGGACTCTTTATGGCTTGAAGGAATCACTCGAGACTTGGTTTGGTAAATTCAGCCACATTATGCATATTTTTTGCTTGAAAAGGTGAGACAGATTATTTTGTGTTTTATTGTCATACTTCTTCAAGGAAATGTGTTTATCTTATGATTTATGTTAATGATATTTTTTATTATAGGCAAAGATTCCACTAGGAATAGTTAATTGAAGAAACATTTGTTTAGTCACTTTTGAACCAAAGATCTTGGTTATTTGCAATATTTTCTTGGTATTTAAGTGACTCAATAAATAGAAGGTGAGATCATCTCACAGAGGAAATATGTTTTTGATATTTTGGAGGAGACAAGTTTGACAAATTAAAAGCCCATTGATAACCTGATCGATAATCAGAAATTAATGGGAGACAAAGGTGAAATCTTCTCACAAAGAGACATAGGAGGTTGTTAGGAAAATTCATTTATCTCACTATTATCAAATCAGATCTCTCTTATGCAGTTGCAATGGTTAAACAACTCTTCATATTATTTCTAATCTAGCGTTTCCTGAGAAAATAGAACATATTGAGATTGATTGTCATTTTGTTAGAGAGAAGTAGTTGTGCAAGGAACTCAGAGTTGGTGGGATCTAATGAGTAACTTGCAAATATTTTAACTAAGTCTCTATGAGGACTTAAGATTCAATTTATATCTCCCTAGCTTGGTGCATACAATCTATATGCTTCAGCTTGAGAGGGAGTGTTAAGATATGTTTTAATTTCAATCTTTTTCTTATACATGATCCTAGGATTAGGGTTAGGGTTTGGACTGAGGCCCAATGTCCTTTTGTACTCTCTTATAAAAATTACAGTACCAATGCCAATTGACACTATCTTTGAACCCTAAACATTTCTCTCAAGTAGTGGTATAGTGCTTTGTTAAAACTTCATTGGGCGGGCTTTCATATATTCTATTTCCAAAGAGAGGTTAGACAAATCTACTTCAAGAATCATGGTTAGTTTGTTGAACAGTGCATTAAGAAATATGGAGGCACAATGGATTTGTTAAATGTAAACATTGTGATTGTAACATTTCTTAAAACTTAAAAAATGAAGTATATACAATTTTAGATGGGGTCCGAAAATGTGTCTTATACAAGTAGATATTTATGTACAACTTGTGACATTATATAATAACATGTTTTACCACTATTAGAGTCTCAATATGAATGAAATTACCATTAATTTATTTAAATTTTCAAAAACCAAGAAAGACGCATACCAGATCATTGAGCTGAGGTTCAGCAATTTCTTTCTTTACCTTGCTTGGTACAAGCTCACTGATAAATGAAGCAACAAATTGAGGACATGATCATGTGATATTTAATCATAAATAAATTCAGTATAAAGTAAAATACCGTTCAACATCAATGTCCATGTCAGAATCTGGATCCCATGTCTCATCTCCATCATCATGATCTTCATCTGCCTGTAAATATTGTGGGCACGTGTATGTGAATATTTGGAAATAAGCATGAATCAGAAGATGAAAGCAAACATCTAGTTAGGAAAAGAGTTTAGGGTGTCTAAGCTTTATCTTATCAGTCACTATCACTAGTCAATATGGGTGTTAGAGTACTTGATTTCTTTATCTCAAACTGTAACTCTGTTAGTTAGGATAGTTAATTATCAACCACATTGCTGCTGAGTCAGTACTTTCATTAGCTTCCTGAAGACCCATCTTATAGTCTACACCTTGTATAAAAATGTACACTACTACATCTATTTCAATTGAATAATGCTCTTCATTTTCTGTATACTTTCTGCGTATTCTCAAAGTTAAGAGAGTTAAAAGACATTTATAATTCAGTGGGATGCATTACTCCACTCTATGATCTCATATATATATATATATATATATAGGATTATAGCATTTAAAACAACAACCACCAACTACCAACCACTAACCACTAACCACTAATAATTCTAATATTTCCCCTCAAGCTGGAATATACAAATTGTATGTGTCAAGCTTGAAACAAATAAATTCAATTCGAGGTCCTCTTAAAGATTTTGTCAATACATCTACAAGTTGCTCATTGGACCCAACAAATTTAGTGTAAATTTCTTTAGACAACAATTTTTCACGAATAAAATGACAATCAAGTTCTATATGTTTGGTCCTTTCATGGAACACCGGATTAAAAGCAATGTGGAGAGCTGTTTGATTGTCACAATATATCTTCATCTATTGGATCTCACAAAATTTCAGTTCTTGAAGGAATTGTTTCACCCACACTAGTTCACAAGTGAGAGATGTCATTGCTCTATATTCAGCTTCAGCACTAGACCGGGCTACTACATTTTGTTTCTTGCTTTTCCAAGAAATAATATTGCCTCCAATGAGAACATAATATCCTGTAGTGGAGCGTCTGTCCATAGGGGATCCAGCCCAATCAGCATCACAATACCCAAATATTTGGGTACCCCTTTATCTTCATACAAGAGATCTTGTCCTGGAGCCTTTCTGAGATATTTTAGGATGTGAACGACATCATTATGATCAGTATGCGGATTTTGCATAAACTGACTGACAACTCCAATGGCAAAAGATAGGTCAGGTCTGGTAATGGTGAGATAAATGAGTTTCCCAACAAGTGTTCTATATCTCTCAGGATCAGAGAGCGGTTCACCCTGATCCGCCATTAATTTTTTATTTGGATCCATAGGACTGTCTATTGGTTTACAATCAATCATGTCTGTTTCTTTCAGGATATCTAAAGCATACTTTCTTTGGGAGACTACGATGCTTTCTTTTGATTGAACCACTTCAATCCCTAGAAATTATTTGAGACAACCAAGATCCTTAGTTTGGAAGTGATTTGCATAAATGTTTCTTTAATAGATAAATTTTATCAACATCATCCCCTGTAATAACTATATCATCTACATATACAATTAAATAAACACATTTTCCTGAAACAATATAATAAAAAATAGAATGATCTGCTTCACTTTGTTTTAGTCCAAAACTTTGAACAATGTGACTAAACTTTCCAAACCAAGCACGTGAAGATTCTTTGAGACCATAGAGAGAACGATGTAACTTACAAACCAAACTAGACTCCCCCTGAGCAACAAAACCAGGAGGTTGCTCCATATAAATTTCCTCCTCAAGATCACCATGCAAGAACGCATTCTTGATATCTAACTGATGAAGAGACCAATGATGGATAACTGCCATAGCAAAGAAAAGTCAAACAGTAGTCATTTTGACCATAGGAGAAAAAGTATCACTATAGTCAAAGCCATAGATCTGAGTGTAGCCTTTTGCTACTAATCTAGCTTTGAGTCGATCAATTTCACCTTTTGGTCCAACTTTAATGGCATAGACCTAACGACAACCAACAATCTTCTTCCCAGGTGGAAAAGGAATTAAGTTCCATGTACCATTGTGCTCAAGAACCTGCATTTCATCAATCATGGCTTGTCGTCATCCAAGATGATCAAGAGTTGCCCTTTCGTTGTGGGTCAAAAGTACCCTTTGCCTGGTCCGGCAAGCCTCGTTAGAGGGGGTGTGTTGAAAGTCTCACATTGCCTACCTCATATAATTTGCGAAGATATTCTAAGCCTTTTTCTAGAAAGAGTTACATGTTTTGAAGGATTTGAAGGATTTGAGAGTGTCCAAAATATTTGGTTCTACTGATTGCCACAATAGAGCACAAAGTTGATAATCAAGCTTTTTCCATTGTTGAGCCTGATCTTCTGGTATCTTACTTCCATCTTCATCTAGATGATCGTGAAACCCTTGTCCAAGGAACCAAAGTTCCACTGAAGAGGATCAAGACATGTAATTTTTTCCATTTAATTTCTTAGTCGTTATAGTGGGAGTTTCGGAAAAGGAGATTATGGGCCCTGATGACATGTTTTAAATAATGTAGATGTAAGATGGAGACAATGGAACCTATAAGAAAGAGAACACCCAAGATAGAATTAGATAGTGAGGGAAGTATCAATTTTCACTTTGCAAGAAAATTGACGAATGGCAACAACAGACAATTGTAGCGGAACGGAGGTTGGAAGGTCACTGAAAGGTAGTCGGAAAATTGTCGGACGGCAGCAAAAAAAGTGACTGGACGGGGGATGACAGTTGCCAGAAAATTGGCGGAAAGTGGCCGAACGGTTGTGGACGGTGGCCGGAAAGACAGAGCAGGACTAACCTGCTCTAATACCAAGTTAAGAGAGTTAAAAGGAGATTTATAATTCAGTGGGATGCATTACTCCACTCTATGATCTCATATATATATATATAGGATTACAACATTTAAAATAACTACCACCAACCACCAACCACTAACCACTAATCACTAATCATTCTAACACTCAATAATATTCAAAGTCTATTATGTTATCTAGAGTTTGAGATGCTCTATTTAAGGCTCTCAATGTTATACAACAAACAACGTATGCTGGAAAATATTTAAATTCCAATCTCCGACCAGATCTTTTTTTCCCTGTTTCTGCCACCTAAACCACCACCATTTCAATCACCTTGAATGACAAACTCTGTTCCCATGTTTTCACTACTTACCTTCTCCTACACCATCTCTGAATACTTCCAGCAAGAATTTTCTCATCTGGAACCAGTAAGTTGAATCATCAAAGCACATTGTCTCCACTAACTTGTTATTTGTCCTAGATATCAATGCAATTTCACTCTCTTTCGGACATGTAGGGTTTAAGAATCAAACTTCACATCCTAGGAACTCGAAGATCAACTACTACTTCCTCAGTTACAATTCTGGTTTGCTTGACTTCTAGTCAAAGTGATTGGTTGCAAGCACTAGTTTCAACTACGGGATAAGATTTACACACTTCAATTTGAAAACCAAGGCCAGGCCATGTCAACTGCAAAATTGAAAATTTAGGAAAAGAGGATCGAACATGATTTGCTAGTTAACGCAATTCACAATCTAAATCTTGAAGTTCTTTGAGTCCAGGAACCATTATTTCATTCTTGCCAAACTTGAGTGACTCAGGTCATGCAAAAGCTTTAGGGGTGAAGCAGCAAAATAGGACACAGGAAAACTGGTTTCCAGATAGTAAAGGCCTTGTGATTCATGTCCTATGCCATTCAAATGACCCATACCAAGTTCTTGTAAGGCAAAGGATAATCAAATGTTACTAATCAATTTAAGGAGCAAATCAATTGACTTAGAGAGATAAAATTATAAGGACAATTAAGGATATAAAGAACAAAATTTAAATTTAAGGAAGGAGAAAGAGGAACTTGACCAACTCCTTGATAAACAACTTTGGACGCATTGATCTGGGTAAAAATATGAGAATATTTAGTCAAAGAAATACATGAAAACAAAAATTATTACTGAAGCTATGGTCAAAAGCACCCTAGTCAACAATCTATGAACCTTGGTTCTGCACAGATAGAGAAATATAAGTTGTTGAGATTCTTGGCACTGAAGGTGGCTTGCCTACTGGATTTAAGTCTAAGATATTCTTAATAACCCCCAGCAAAGAATTTTGGTTCAGATTTTTTTCAAATTTAGATTACACGAGTTGCCTTGACACGAAAACTGTGCAAAGAATAAGAAGTTTCTTTAATTTGCCCCATCCTTTCATAGTATGAGCATTGGGTGGACTAATTCAGCCACCATGTCCTCCATGGATTCCACGACTTGCTACTCCCTAAGTAGATACTATTTTTGAAATATTAACAGGTTCATATCAACTCTCACTATTTTTCATGGTTCAAACATGAAGATATATAATTAGATTTTTCATTGAAGGAACTTCTTGGCTTGTCAAAATTAGGACACGAAGATGACAAAATCTGAATTCACGGCACAAAAGACTAACACCATGTACAACATACAAAATTCTTCTTCATTCCATCCACAAATTAGCTTCCAAAAACATTTTCAATTCTTAAATTGCAGATTGGGCTTGAACAACAAAAGATACCATGTTAAAGATGTCAACTTTCCAGATGTTGGGCTCTACAGATTGCTACCACATAAAGTTGGACAAGCTTTGTCCTCTGCTCTTGATTGTTCGATGTCAACTTTCAGTTAGTGTGCTATTAACTAACTGTAATAATACCATAAATAGTCATGATGTATTTTGATACATGTGTTTGAAATACAAAATTTTAGATTCAATACCCATATCTCTTGTTATCTTTCCCTTTTCTTCTCTAATTTTTGTGAACTGTGTGTTCTAATAAGTGGTATTTGAGCTATTCTGATTGTGGACTTGAGTGCAATGCCCACTAGCATGTGAGGCATTCTATTATGTGGGAAACCCTTTCTTGTGTGGGTTTTCCATCTATTTTGCAGTTCTTTTGTGTGGAATTCTGCAAAGTTCAAAGTGGGAATCATGGTAAGTTCCATGGGGTCTTTTACTACCACCGCCAATTCTTGATGGCAAGAACATTGATCAATGGTACATCAAGACGAGGGTTATCTTTGATTTCCAAGAAGTGTTAGAAATTGTAGAGAATGGTGTTCTAGAAGTGGAGGAAGGTGCTACAATGTCCTAGTGGACAGTTTGTATGAAATCTAAGAAGAAAGACTATAAAGCTCCCTTCTTGATTCATCAATCTATAAATAATGCCAATTTTGACAAGATATCTTTAGCCAATATAACCAAGGTTGCCTAGGATATTTTGAACAAGTCATATGGAAATGTTGATAAATCAAGAAAGTGAAGTTTCAATCCCTCCATAGATAATGTGTTGTTGTCAATGGTTGATCAAGAATAAGTTGGGGATTACTTGAACACAACTCAAGTGCAAGTCAACTCAATGAAAGCTTGTGGTGAGAAGTTTTCAGATCAACAAATGATTGGGAAGGTTTAAGAACTTTGACTCCACACTCCGATGCATTGATACATTGGTGCCAATGTATCCATATCGGGTACGTATCCGATACTCATTCACCTCGATACTTAAAAAATTTTGTATTGAAAAAAAATAAAAAAAAATCCAAACAAAAATAAAAACAGAATAACAAATATTTTTCTGTTATTATTATTGTTAAATTAATCAAAACATATTCGAATTATTTAAATACATATCTCTTTTCCAACATTTTATTTGTCTGAGAGATGATAATTTCATGTTGTTGCTTATTTCTCTTTGATTTTTTCTCTCTCCCTCTGTCACTAGTTTGTTTGTTTCTTATCTGTTCCAGCATTTGTTTCTCCTGGGTTTTCTCTCGCTCCCTTCGTCTTTTAGGGTGAGACTTTCCTCTCTTTTTTCTTTTGCGTGTTCTACGTGTTTTAGTGTGTTCTAACTTGTGAGATTGCTTTCCTTTTCTTTAGTGTGTGTAGCAGCTCCAACGTCTTCTACAGTGTTTCGGTGTGAGTTGGTGTGTGCAACCCGTTTTCGCATGTGAGACTGACTATGTGTTCTTGATATTGAGTGGTAGGTAGTATATTATTTATAAATTTTAGTTAATAATATGTTTGGATTTCAAAATATATAATATATTATTAATAACATATTATGTTTTTAGATTAATTTTATTTAATAATTATTTATAGTTTGATTTTTTAATTAAATAAATTTTTATTATTAATTTAAATAATTAATATAAATTAATTTTTATATAAAAACTAATATGTTTATTATTTTTTATAAATTTATATTTTTATTAAATAAATATTATAAATGATTACAATGTACATAGTAATTTAATTTTATGTAAAATTTATAAATTAAATAATTTATTTATTTATTAATTTTTAAATTAAATATTTAATTAAAATAAAAAATTCATAATTAGATAAAATATTAATTTTAATTATGAATAATATTACTTATAATTACTTTTTTTTAAATTATACTAAGATAATTTTTTTTATGTTGTTAATTTTTTTATAAATTTAATTCAATGCAATGATTTAAATATATCTTATTTTTATTATAAATATTAAATTTTAATTTAATTAGTTAAATTATTCGAAAGTATTATTAAATTAAACAATAAAATTATTATTATTATAATTATTTATTTTAATTTATTATTTTATTTGTTATTAATGTTTTCTCTTACTTAGATTTTTTTTTTCATTTTTATTATAGTGAATTTTATTCAAAATGACAACACCAATACCAAATTCTTCTAATTACAATTAAAAAATTCGAAGTAAGTTCTTTTCAAAAGATCATGAACAAGATTATCATACTCCTCTATGGGCCTATGTTACTTTAATAGAAAAAGGACCAGAAGCATGTGGAAATAAGAGATGGTCTTGTAATTTTGTCAAAAATCTTTTACAAGTTCATACTTCAGAATAAAATCCACTTATTGAAGATTTATGGAAAAGGAATTAGTGTGTGCTCAAAAGTCAATGATAAATATTTGATTGAATTAAAATAATTGGCTGAAAATAGATTGAAAACCTAAGCATATTCCCTTACCAACCGAAAATAGACATGAGAATAATTCCTTAAAAAAAGGAAAAAGTGGTCCTCTTGAGAAGAGGTTTAACTTAGAACCCTCAAAGCTCTTACAAATATAATGTTTTATTCTTTTGGGTTGTCTTTTAATCTTGCAAGAAATCCTTATTATGTGAATTCATATTTATTTGTTGCAAATCATAATCTTAATGGTTTTTTTCCTCGTGGATATAATGCTTTGGGATATGGGTTGTTCATTTCAAAACATGACAACATTTTCGATGAAGTATTTGGCTACTTTTCTTCCTCCTGGATACAATGCTTTGGGATATGGGTTGTTCATTTCAAAACATGACAACAACATTTTCAATGAAGTATTTGGCTACTATGATTCAAATTGGTGTAGTGATAAAAGTGATAGGAAAAGTATAGCAAGATTTAAGATATGTGGAGCACAAATTTCATAGTGTTTTATAATCGAGTTAGTGGTGGCACTGCCTTCATGTGAGGCTGAATACATTGTATCTTCAATGGGAGCTTGTCAAGCCTTGTGCTTCAGAATTTGATAATAAAAATGAAAATTAGAAGAGAAGAGCCATTGAAGATGCTAGTAGACAACAAGTCAATTATACACTTTGCAAAACATCTTATTGCTCATGGAAGGAACAAGCAAATTGACACAAGATTTCATGTCCTAAGAGTTCAAATTAGTAAAGGGAAGATGGAGTTTAAATTTTGCAGTACTAATAAACATGGTTAAACTAAGGATGACAAATTCAAGCTTATTAGAGAAATGATAACAGATGTTAGAGGTGTCAATATGAGTTCTAACCCGTGAGCCAACCTAACTCACAACGAGTTCAAGCCGAGTTGGGTTCGATTTTATCCTTTCTGCCGATAATGGATTAAAAATAAATCCGACTCACTTAACCCACGGGTTAAGCGGGTTCGAGCCAGATTATGGCAGGTTGATCCCGCAACCCACTATTTATTTTAAATTTTAAAAATAATTATAATAGTTTAGTAATCCTAATTGATGTCTTTTTCCTTTCCACCTCAATTCCATGTTGTCACTACAAGTCAAACTCTCACTCAACTTTATCATCAATTATTCACCACACCATTGCTTTCATTATTGCACATGGGCCACTTGCCATCCTTCCACCACATTACCACGTCATTGTGTTCGTTGCATTTGTCACAACAATACGTTTCAATTGTGTTACAGCGTTTGTCGTGTTTCAGTCCCACGTTTCAATCGCGTCATAGCTTTTGTCATGTCAAAACCACAACGTTTTAGTCTCGCATTCCAATCGCGCCACTACGCCACCGTGTTTCAGTTGTACCATAGCGTTTATCGCATTTCAATTGCATTACAACATTTGTTGTATCACCGCATCATTGCGTTTCAGTCTCGCGATTTAGTCGTGCGTATTAGAAAACAAAAAACAAAAAAAAATGTGGGTTAGTGAGCCAACCCACCAACCCGTAGTGGGTTGAGCCGGATTGTGAAATTTCTGGCTCGTCATAAAGTGAGTGGGGTGGAACTCGCCTATTTTCAACTCAGCCCGTGGTGAGCCACCCTAATAGAAGTAGGGTCTATTGCTATTTGAATTAATGGGCAGGGGCATGGGGAAGTGTTATAGATAATTCAATTAGTGTTGTACGTGACGTAGTTAATGGACTGCTAAAACATGTGTATTAAAACTTCAAATTCAACATCCATGTTTCTTGTTCTCTTTCCCTTTTTTTCTCTATTTTTGTTAATGTGTTCTAAAGAGACGGCAGTAGCTGCAGCAGCAAAGAAAGGTGAAATAGCATAGCAGGATTAGATCCACTATGATACCGACTTAAATTTGAAGTTTTAAGAGAGAAAAGGTTGACATTTTCACTCAGCTGTATCATACACATATATGCATAACAAAAATGTTAAAGGTACACAGTGGAAGTAGGAGTGTAGACTGTTGCACCTGCCCAAACGGCTACAACAGAAAAAGAAAAATATAGATTGACCCATTACAACATACATAATAATATAAAATGCATATATTTATTAACATTATTAAAAGAAATCCTTGAAAGAATGCTAATTGGGGAAAATGCAGTAAACTAAATGACAGAAGTTTACCTCTCCAAGATCAGAATCTGGAGGCCTTTCCTGAAATTGGACACTAGGAGCATGCTGCAGCTTGGAAAGATTCTCAAGTAGCTTAGATTGAATTTCTTCGAGTAAATGATGGGAATTCTTGTTTTCCATGTTACTTGGGGCAACATGAAGGGTATAATCTGGACCAAAATATTCATAATACTCGTGCTGCGGCATTTGGTCATCAACTTCTATTCCAAGAGCAACTCCTGTCTGTCTTATCATATAACATGAATAAATGTATTTGATGATTTTCTATACAAAAGCATTGTTCAAATAACATAACTATTAAACATGTTGAACAAGTTGACAAGTGAGAAACAACAACTACAAGGTATGTCTCATTGAATACTAGAGACATTTTAGGATATCTTAACTTATATTTTATACTTCAAGACAAGCAAAATAAAGCAATACTTAACTACTTTGACCCCTCCAACATTATTACTGCTACTGAACAAGTTACTTCATGTTTAGTATTCTGTATTTATTATAATCAAATATGACAGATGGAGAAAAAATTGGAAGTTCATAACAATAATCCCACTTGTGGGTTGTGGCACCCTAACTCGGATATTGTAACCATGCTACCTTTTTCATTATTTTTTTTATGATTAATGAAGATAATCCCAGAAAATTTATTAATTTAAACAAAAATCTACCTCATAGCACCAACATCGAGCAACATTCCGAATGGTGTAGCCACCACCACCTAGTAGCAAGAGGGGCACGTTGAATGATCTCATGTATCTGACACACTCTGCATGTCCCCTAATTGAAAGATTGAAACATCCCAATCGGTCTCCAGATAGAGAATCAGCACCACACTGGAGAACTACTGCACCAGGCCTGAACACTTCCATTACTTTGCCAATTATTGGTTTGAACAAGAAATGATAACTCTCATCATCAATGCCATCATCAAGCGGAACATTAAGAGAGTAGTATTTTCCTTTTCCATATCCAATATCACGCACATCCCCAGTACCAGGAAAATAGTCTCCAAATTTATGAAAAGAAACAGTCATGACTCTGTCAGTAGTATAGAATGCTTCTTCCACACCGTCTCCATGGTGGATATCGATGTCCACATATAGAACACGCTGCAACAAATGTAATATGAGCATTTGAAATCAGAAAGAGACAAAAGTTTGTGAAGAGAAATTAGAGAAGTTCAGAATAGTAACATTTTACCAGTTTACCCCCCATAATTTCTGGTCCAGATCAGATTTAAATATGTTTAAAATCTTATATTATAACCCTCAAGATACAAGTAAGCTGTAAGCTGTTGAAACTGACAATGTATATCTGCCATGCCTGATATAATGTCATTTGCCAAAAGTTCACTAGCACAGTATATAGCCTTTTCCAATACATTTTTTCCAGAGTATGTAGCCTGACACTGTTTTAATGAGAAAAGAAGGCGAGAGAAAAAAAGAAAGAAATATAGTAGAAAGAAGTGAATAGAAATAATAAGAAAAGAAATGAAAAAAATTCTCTTCACTTCTTTGGATGGGTAGAAGGGTAGAAATAAATAGAAAAGTTATACATAAAACCCTTTCTACAAATGTTTTTAAAACCAGAATGGTCACTAAATCGGTGTGAAGACATGAATTTTAGGGTTTAAAAATTCAACCGAGTTCCACCGGATTTAATAAAATAATATTTTTATAATATAAGAAATATATGATAAGTTTATTTAATAATAATATTTTTATAATATAAGAAATATAATAATATTTTTATAGTAATGATGTTTTTTTACAAAAAGGAAGAAAAATAGTAAAGGTTAATGCTATTGTCATCATAAGTTACAATGAAAGTTACAAATACAAAATCCATTAGAGAGTATAAGACGGATAATTGTTAAAATAAGATAAAAATATAATAAAATAATTATTATTTGACATAATTAATATGAAATAAAAAGCTTGAAATATATTATATATTTTATAAAAGAATTATATTAAAAAAAATTGATCTTAAACTCTTTTTTTTTACCAAAATTGGTTTGATCCAAAAACCCAGCCGGTTTTCCCGGTTTTGTCTCAGTTTAATTAAAATTCAATTATTTGGAAGCAACGGACTAATTTCTAGACTGTTCCCCGGTTAGACCGGTTGAACCAACTGATCCGGTTTTCAAAACAGCGGTTTTTATCCTTAAAAATTGTTCCAAAACACATTATTTTCAAACCAATGACTGTTATCAGAAAACACATATGCACCTCCTTTCTCAACTTAAAATCTCCCTAAAATGATGAGAATTTGCAAACCCCGCAGCTAACTATTTCTTTCTCTCCTATAATCTACCTCCACCCAAATCATAAATTATACATTTCTCTTCTAACTCTCTCATCTCTATTTGTTTCCCAAATCCATCAAAACATAAGGTATTGTGCTTCTATCTACAATCTTGCATGAATAGTTTTGAAGAAAACTAATCCCAATTCTTGAAATAATTTCATTTTCGAAAAACTCAGTATCATAGTACAAAACCTTATCCAGTGTTATTATTGTCTAGTGTTTACAACCAGAACTCACAGGAGCTTGTATTATAGTTCTCTGTACAGTGTTTACAGAACTTCTAATCATCCCTTCTTGAATATTTTAGAAGACAAAAAAAAAAAAAAAAAAAAACTAATCTTATCATGTTTGATACAGCATAGGCCAAATTAAAGAGTTTTAATGGATTGTACAATTTTAAAACTATGTGGGAAAAAAACTGTAGAAATTTCCAATTTAAATAAAAAAGTTAATTGTAAAAATGAGTATACACTAATTTCAAAACTTCTTTGATCCAGGAGACAAAAAACCCCTGGTGCCTATCTTGTGGACATGCACATTATTTTAATGGTATTAAAATATAAATGGAGGTAAGTTTTCTATAGGAATAACATTAATGACCTCAAACTTACTTGTGTTTAGTGTATATATATATATATTTAAGAAAGTTAACTCTTGAAATGTAACAGATAATAATAACAAATTAACCAACAGATTAGACTGTGAAATCTCTTGATCCAAATGGCAATTCCTGAAGTCATTTTGTTCTGTCTAGAGTAAACCTTTAGATGGCTCGGTTACTTGGACTTGGATTCAGAAACTAATCATCCTCCAATCCGACAAAGTCACGGTCCCTCTCAATATCAGATGCTTGAAGTTTACAATCAAAGCTTAACAAGACGAGTAGTAGCTTATTATTATAGAACTTTTAAGGGGTTCATGTATTAAGGAGGATACAAAAGAAAAGAATCTCACGTAAAAATGCTTATAGCCAATTTGAGCAAAGCTCTTCATTATTCAGTTGTTCTAATTCCCTAAAAAAATTCCAAAAAATATATCAAGTATAAAATAGGCAGACATTTACAAAAAAGAAATCAATATACCTCTAAAGCAGGACAAAAAAGGAATTCAAAAGGAAAAATATGCAGTTAGACAAACCTCATGTTGTTTAAGAAGTTCTAAGATTGCAAGGACTATATCATTAACATAGCAAAATCCAGAAGCCTCACACTTCTTGGCATGATGCAACCCACCAGCCCAGTTGACAGCAATATCACATTGATCATGATTTAACTTAACAGCACCCCCAACTGAACCCCCTGCATAAGTTTGACAGAAAGAGTAGAGGCCATCAAAAACAGGACAATCTTCACCAACATTAAAGCGTTTGAGTTGCCTCAGATGATCCTGCTGTGTTTCAGGAGTTATGCTTCGAAGGAATGCAACATAATCATCAGCGTGAAAACGACAAAGATCCCTGTCTCTAGCTGGAAATGGCTTATGGACCTGCATGTGCTGAAGCAATCCATAATGAGCAAGAAGAGCATGTGTCATCCGTATACGATGTGGCTTCATAGGATGACCTTGCCCATAATAGTAATTCCCAACCTCTGGATCATAGAAATAGCACACCTTCCTCTTAACCCCATCAGGAGCAGATGGTAAAGAATTGCCGCCAGAATCCATGTGTGTTGTTTCCCCGTTATTTTCTTTTGTCAATAGTCAACCATCCTAACAAAATCATTTGAAAGGGCAGAAAGGGACTATTAAAATAAATAGAAGTGAGACAGCTAAACTCTAAAAGTATTGACGAAGGATATATATACGACCATGATGGGAAATCAGAAAATAAAATTCAAATTAAAAATAAGAATTGAGTTGGGTTACTATAGCCATTACCTCTTGTAGCTGACAGATTCGCACTATGTGCACAAACTGAATACAAACCCTAATAAACTGAGTAAAAACCTATCGGTTAATGTATAGACAAAGAAAATCGAAAACACGACAGAAAAGATCAATCAAAATCATAGATTGCCATATTGCTAAATAAGCGAAAAACTGAATTAAAAACATAATTGTAATTGATTCCATTATTCATTCCATTGTAAAAATGAATAGAGCTCGGTTACCTTACGAATGTAGCCTTATCTCTTCTCTAATACTTGCAGAGTCTCCTACACAGGCACTGGGTCAACGAACGCAAACTGACGATGAGAGAAGCTACTCCGACTATAACTAAAACGTCTCACAGCCCTCGCCGCTTCTTCGATTTGATACTTTAATATTATTCTCGTGTAACAATTGTAACAAATTAGACTTTTATTATATCCGGATTCGGGTGCTTACGGTTTTATATTTTCTTGTTTTGAAATAAACTAAGTTAAAAGAATTTAATAAGAGTCCAATCGACTCAAATTTCATAAAAAAATTCAGGATTTGGCCATTCTAAACGTTTTGTTTTTTTACTAAATTATATACATTTATTTATATTTAGATATTAAATATGTTATTATAAATATTATATATCTATTATTTTTATATATCATATATATTGAAGTATAAATAATACTAAACTAATCCACAATTCATACTTGTAAAATTTTACAGAAAAAAACTATTTAACAAATTATTAAAAAGCAAACTTTTAAATTAATTATTTTGACAATCAAATAAACCTTAAAATAATAATAATAATAATAATAATAATAATAATAATAATAATAATAAGAGTTAAAGTATATTTTAGTTTATGTACTTTCATGTGAAATTAGAAATAGCCCTTTTGTCAAAGTTCCCATAAAAACGATTTCTATATTTTTAAATTGATTGAAATAGGTCTATATTTTAAATTGCGTTAAATATATGGTGACCTGTCTAATAGTAGATAGTATGACTCATTCATTATTTGACACGTATAATTATTTTAAAAAAAACTTCTTTAAAAAAATAGAAATTATTTAATAGAGATTATTATTAAAAAAAACAAAATTAAAAAGTATAGGTTTTTTTCTTTCTCATGCATCAAAGTTCTTCCGTTCTCGTCACAACCACTTTTCATTCTCTCTTCTTTTTCTTGTCACAACTACTTTTCGTTTTCTCTTCTTTTCTCGTCACAACTACTTTCGTTCTCTCTTCTTTTCTCGTCACATACCAAAGGTATTTTCTTTATTCCCCTTTCTCTGTAAAGGTTGTATGAAGTCAAAGTGACTTTGAAGCTCGAGGGTTCCATTTGTGGTTTGACCGACCGTGCGACTGTGGTGCACAACGACAAGTGTGCGACGTGGTATACCATAGCTAGGGTTTTAAAATGACTTTTAAATGCTTTAAATTTGGATTTAAATGGCTTATAAATGACAGAGAAATTTAAATTTCTTTTAAAATGACTTTTAAATGTTATAAATGCGGATTTAAATGACTTTTAAAAGCTTGACACCTTTTAATTTTATTTTTTTAAAAAATTATACATATCAAATAATGAATTAGTCATATCATTTTTGTTAGATAGGTAAGCATATATTTAACCACATTTAAAATAGGAACATATTTCAATCATTTCAAAAGTATATGGATCATTTTTATGTAAACTATAACAGAGAGACTATTTTCAATTTCACATGAAATTATAGAGACTAAAAACATATTTAACCCTAATAATAATCTATGTATTTTTACCCATATTTTACTAAGAGCATATCCAATATTCTTCTTATAAATAACACATTAGAGTATTTATTACACTTTGAATAGAATTTATTATGTTATATTATTTTTAAACTCATAGTAAAATTTTACTAGTTTTTTTCTAATTTTTATAAATATTCATATTTATTATGCCATACCACTTATAAATATTCATATTTTTATTTTTTTAAATTTTTATAAAACTAATTTCTTTTAAAAAAATTATAAAATCAAAATAAAAACTAAACTAATTTTATAGAAATTTAAAAATATTTACCACAATTATTATATATCACTATTATAATATTATCGTTATTTTGTAAATAAAATAAAAATTTCAGTATTGTTTTTATCGTTTTTATTCTTCTTCAAAATCAATAAATTCTTAATTTTATTTTATTCAAATAAATATAATTTAAGAGGTTGATTATTCACGTAGTTAGAGAACAAATTATCTGTAAAATTTTATTTTATTTGTTTGTTTATTTACTTTTATTGTTAAGCTTGTAAAAGTAACTTTGCTAAAATTTTAGCAATTCTAGATCAACTCCAATGTAATCGTAGCGAGTTAAGTACATTGTTCTAACAATTATTTTAAATTTTATTAGTTATAATTTATTAAACTCTTTTTTTCTCATTTGTTTATTAAATTTAATAAAAAAATTATTTTGGATTGCACTAACTATTATTTTGGATTAAACTAAATGAAACCATTTTTTTTAATATATATGTCAAATAACAAGATAAAGTTGAGATTTTTAAAATAAACAAAAACTTATTTAAGCAAAGTTTCATTATTATTATACATGTGTGTAAATTGTTAAAATATATGTAAAATAATATTTTTACGATATTACTATTATAACTAATTATTTTAATTTATTCTTTAAAATATGTTTACGGTATTAGGGATTTAAGATTATGGATTTAGGGGTTAAAAATTCTATGGATAATGATCATGGATATCCAAAATCAAATCAATAAGAAAATAATTGAAAATCAATTTTAAAAAATGTAAATGTATCAAACCATTTATTTTTATTTAAATATAGTATTATATTATTATTTAAAGTTAATTGTCAACTTATAAATAAAGAAATATATATATATATATACATATAATTATATTATTTTAAATTTTTTAATAGTTAAATTATTAAAAATATAATAGCAAATTTTGATTGAATTTTTTAATTACAAGATAGTATAAATTATTTATAAATATAAAAGAAATAACAAAAATTATTACAAAATTTCACAATATATCTCTTTCATAGATAACTTTATAACAATTTTTTTAGGAAAATGTTTTACAAATTTTGTTAATTATTTAACAATTTTAATAACAAAAATTATAAAATTAATCCAAATTCAATCATGAACATGTGGTTTGTTTGATTCAAATTTATATTAAATTAAACTAAATTCCATTTAATTTTTATATTTGGTAAATAACTATTAAATAAAAAATTAAAACAAATTTAGTCATGAACACACACTAGTTCTAATGGACGGTCGATATACTAGGAATTATAATTTAGGAAACATGGTTCGGAGAATGCGAGATTCAACACGACTCATATTTTAGGATTTTGGATTCCAAATTATTGATTTAATTGTTATTTTTTAAGCTCATTTTTTATAATAGTTTTGAGTAATATTGTGATTCTTTTTAAAATTTAGTTATCATAGTTATATCATTGGGAGATTTATACAATTTTTTGTGTTAGAGAAAATTTATAGTAAAAAAATTTCACTAAACTTTTTTAGGCTCTTAATTTATTTTCTTTTTTTAGTAATAATTTACGTTTTTGAAATTAAGATTTTATAATTATGCTAATAAGAAATTTCTAGAACTTTTTGTTTTGGAGAAATTAAAAAAAAAATTGATTTTACTATTTCAAGCTCTTTTTTTTTTTTTTAATATTCTAGTAATTTTGTGTTGGGGTATTTTTTATATTAAAAAAATTACACTGCACTCATTCAAGCCTTTTTTTTATTTTTCTAGTAGTTTTGAGTAATATTTTTATATTTTAGGAATTTTATTTTCATAGTGACACTAGTCAGAAATTTCTACAATTTTTTGTGTTGGAGAATTATTTTAATAAAAAAATTCAACTGTAGTATTTCAAGATCATTTTGTTTTTTATTTTTCTATTTTTTATGAATAATATTTTTACATTTTAGGATTTTAGTTTTCGTAGTTACACCAATAAGAAATTTGTCCAATTTTTTGTGTTGGGGAATTTTTTTATAAAATTCCACTCCATTCTTTCAAAGCTTTTTTAAGAAATTTTATTAGTAAAAAAATTCCACTGTGGTGTTTCAAGCTCATTTTTTCATTTTTCGATTTGTTTTAAGTAATGTTCTTGCATTTTAAAAATTTAGTTTTCGTAATTCCACCAGATGAAAAATTTCTACACTTTCTTTGTGTTGGAGAATTTTTTAATAAAAAAATTTCACTGCACTCTTTCAAACTCATTTTTTTTCAAGTAGTTGTGAGTAATATTGTGACATTTTTTGAATTTAGTTTTCGTAGCTACACCATTGAGAGATTTATATAATTTTTTGTGATGGAAAAATTTTTTAGTAAGAAAATCTCACTAAATTCTTTTAGGTTTTATAATTTATTTTCTTTTTCTAGTAATAAATTTACGTTTTTGGAATTCAGTTTTTGTAGTTACGCAAGTAAGAAATTTCTACAATTTTTTGTCTTGGAGAAATATTAAAAAAAAATTCGATTGCACTCTTTCAAGCTCATTTTTTTTAATATTTTAGTAATTTTGTGTTGGGGTATTTTTTATATTAAAAAATTGCATTGCACTCATTCAAGTCTGTTTTTTTCTTTTTCTAGTAGTTTTGAGTAATATTTTTACATTTTAGGAATTTTGTTTTCGTAGTGATACCAGTAAGAAATTTCTACAATTTTTTTGTGTTGGGGAATTTTAGTAAAAAAATGTCACTCTGGTTTTCAAGCTCATTTTTTGATTAGTTTTGAGTAA